AATTTAGAGTTTATGAAAATCACAATTTTTCTTTAAATATTTCCATACAAAGATATCTCTTTTAAAACATTAGTGATTTTGACCAACTTTTTTTGTGGTAGAATTGCTGTGAGTCTTTTCACCAAACTGTTAGAACTTGTCAAAGAATGAACACTAATAAATGATAGATCCTTAAATACCTCAAAGTGCAATGTCCCTTTATAGACACTAGATGCCGACTCTTGATGATAATGAATTAAATGCATTAACTATTTCAATGCACAAGCTTATTATATAAATGTAAACAAAAAATACAAATCACAAGCTACACTGTTGATTTTAGGAAGATTAACAATAAATATATGATAACCCAAATTCCTCTAATTCCTCACCCATCTGGACTAAATCCCATGTGGTGCCTCTACCCACACATCTGCTCATCCCACTGGAGTTATGGGAACTTTCCAATGGAGCTGGCAGAACAATTAGGGATGTGTCAGATCACCCTGAGATGAGCAATGACAGTAGTGTGGGATGCAGCTAGTTAAAAAAAATCCACAAATTAGACATAGATCTTTGATTATCTACAGCATTTTTGTTAGCCAGGGGTTTTAGCAGGTGACATATTGATTCTTGCTGCTTCAACTTCAGCTTCCAGCTTCTTACGTCCTCCCAGAGTTCTCCTGTGCTTACATTTCATATTGAAAAAGGCGTATATTTTGAAAGTGCTGTGCATCACTGTTTCTTTTACGCTTATGTAATTATCTACAGTTATATAGTGAGTTATTTATGTAAATTATGTAAAACAGTGGAGGACAGTTTAGTTTGACTTTGCATAAAAAATACAGCATAACTGCTGGCTGAATATTTAATAAATCTATATCTAAATAATGAGTAACTCTTCTTTTAGAGAACTAGAGTAACTTCTTTTAGAGAAGGGAATACTAATTTTTGGGCATATTCACATCATTTTGTAATTTATATTTAAATTGACTTACATCATAGCAGAAATCTGGTACTCTCCCATGGGTGATCAATTCAGCATTGATCAGGATGTTCAAATTAAGATTTCTTGGGTGGCCTGAAGGAAACAGAGAAACCAAACACATGCAGAGACACAGAAATGTGTGAGACACTTTTCTAGATTTAACTTTACATCTTTGGGGTTTGTTCGGGGTGTGGCGGCCTAGTGGTGAGGGCATTGTGCTTGTAATCCTGAGGTTCTGAGTTTGGGTCCCACTGCCATAGACTGCCACTCTGGGTCCCTGAGCAAAGACTCTTAACCCCAAACTGCTCCCCGGGCGCCACACAATGGCAGCCCACTGCTCCCAAAGGGGATAGGTTAAATACCGAAGGGTTAACTTCATTTTTCTGCAATTGTGACAGTAAAATGACAATAAAAAATGCTAGGATAAAAAGAAAAACATCATGTTTCATAAGTGATCTTCTCTGTATAAGAGGTTTCAAATCTCAGAAGCTGAAATTTAGAGATGCTTTTTTGTCCTGAAAATATCATGTTTTGCATTAGTAATTTGCTCCTGAGTAAAGTTTAGTTTTCAAGTTTAATTTCCTGTGAGGTTTTATGGTTTTGTTATGCAATTATGTTTTCCAGACACCTAAAGTTGAATACAGAAGCAAATCTGTAGGTTAAAGATTTTCATTCAAAGCTTCTCACAGGAGACAACACAAGGCCAATTTCTAAATAAAAAATCTCTGTTGCTCAGTGAGCTAACGGTGGTTAGAGGGAAGAAAGGTTTTCCTCAGTTTGAGCTGTTAAGTCCAGGAGAAGTTTAGTCAGGAGATCCCAGAGGCTTAAGGATCAGGAGGTTTGCAGACATCAAACACTAAAAGGAAGGTAACAATGACAAATCTGCACTTATACTTTCACCTCATTGTTTCACAAGGAAACAAGCACAGGTGAACGATTACCAGAACGCAGGCTTCACCTTGGGAGGGAAAAAACAACACGGACAGAAAGAAAATACAATTCCTTTTACAACAAACTCCTGCTCTTTTTCTTCATTCCTCTGTTTGATTTAAGGATTCGTAGGTTAACCATTATTTGCATAATCTGACTTTCTACTAAGGTTGAAAGGGTCAGTTTTCTAAAATACAGGAGATAAAAACACCTGTCAGACCTGCTTACTTTAGTCTGCTCAAGTTGTTGTTATTTAGGTTAAATTGTTGTAGAAAGTAAAAGCTTAAGGGGTTAAAGGATCTGCTAAAGACATAATAAACATTACGACTAACCAGACAGTATTACTCATACCCCTGGCAGATTTAAATAAGAAAGTTGGTTTCGAAAAAAAAAAAAAAAAAAAAAAAAATGACATCAACAGGTAAAAAAACAATTGAAAAATACTGTCAAGAATTTATTAATCTAAATAATTTTCAATATTTAGATATTGCTTTAGTTTAAACCCGGTTTGGTGATGGTTTCCAAGTTTTGGAGGTATGAAGGCTTTCTGTGCCATAACCATAATCTTTACCTCGCTTCATAGATTATCAATCACATTGAAGTTTGGTCTCTGCCTACATACAGTCACTCTATCATATTGATATTAACTCCAGTCAGAGGACATGTATCGATAAAATCCATGTTACTTAGGTGGGTTTAAGAAAGTAAAATCCTTGGCTAGATTTCCTTCATCTTTTTCACTTTGTCAGCTGATTTTAAGTTTTTTTCAAATGACTAGACTCCCGCAATAGCATGCAGTCAAGAGCTCAATCCTAATGCATCAAATCAATGAGGACTGTCTATCCAAGGTGGAAATGCATGATCGGTTGCCATGACGATTGCTGCCTGAATAGCTCTGGCAGCAAAGAAGAAGGTAGGAAAATGAAGTAGGATGCATCCTATGCAAAACAAAATTAGGTGTTCTTACAAGATTCTCTACTTTTGCAACTACTGTAGACCTAAATAGTGACCCAAGGAGACAATGAGCTACACTTAGGAAACCTGAAGAGAAGCCTGTTAGAGGCTGCACAACACTTTAGACTGGAGCAGAAGTTCACCTTCTAGCAGGACAACAACACTAACAGCTGGATCTACAGTAAATAGCTTGGATCAAATCATAACTTTAAATTTCCCACACAAAATCCACATCAAATGTCTCCATTGTTTTTTAAATTGTTTTTTTTAAATCAAATATTTTTATTTAAATATTTTATTGAATTTTCCTAATTACTCTCACACAGAAAAGGATCCATCCATTTTCTGCCACGCTTAATCCCAAGTGCGGTCGCTGGTGCCTATCTCCAGCTGTCTACAGGCGGGGTCCACCCTGGACAGGTCACCAGTCCATCTCAGGCCAACACAGAGACAAACAGGACAAACAACCATTCACACACACTCACACTTAAGAAGAATTTAGAGAAGCCAATTAACCTAACAGTCATGTTTCTGGACTGTGGGAGGAAGCCAGAGTACCTGGAGAGAACTGACACATGCTCAGGGAGAACATGCAAACTCCAAAAGGATAAGGGACAAAATAGCTTTGAAAGGTCATTGTGAAGAAGAAATATACCAGATTCCGTCCAGACCATCCAGACACTGACACAAATTTCCTATGCATTTGGTCCTGATCCAACTATGCTATGAAGAGTGGAAATCTATCTGCATCCCACATCTCCTCTCACCGGAATAAGAGGAGACAGAGAGGGGAAAAGATCTTATCCAAGATTTCGCGTACATGGTGAGTTATCAGCAATTCATGAGTACACACACAATTTTTATAATCATAATACAAAATCATCTATTAAGAGAGACTAAGCATTTGTAGGTGTTGCATCATTCTTTACTTCTGCAACTACTGTAGACCTTATTGTGACCCAAGAAGATGATGTACCTCCAAATGAATAAAAAAAAAAGAAGATATTTCATGTTCTGTTTTTTTTTTTTGTTGTTGTTCTGGGATCTTTTTTGCCCTACATATTGTGAAGATCCTTGTTTGCTTAGAGACAGTTTGAATTCCTGTCAGGGCACAAATTTTGAAAACTTTTATTTTTGTGATATAGGTTTTTTGCAGTTTGGAGCATTCATTCTAATCATTGATTATTGGCCAGTATTTGTATAACATACTTTTCTATCTGGTGATTTTACACTGCATTCAGTCATTCACCCATTTACACACAGTATAAATGACACTATGAGCACGCCATGCCCACTCATGGTGAGAAAAACACTGCAAAGGCCATGCAGTTTGAGATAGGATAGATGGAGCTACAAGTAGGGAAGAAGAGAAATACAAAAGGCTGCAGAAGACTTTAGACTGGAGCAGAAGTTCCCCTTCTAGCAGGACAACACTAACAGCTGGATCTACAGTAAATAGCTTGGATCAACGTATAATTATAACCTCAAATGTCCCAGACAAAATCCACACCAAATTCCTCCATAAAAGTTTTTAATTGCTTGTTTGAAGCAAATATTTTGGGTAACTTTCTAATTGTCTTGACACAGAAAAGGATAATGGACAAATATCTTTATTTATTTCAAAAGAAAAATGAAAAATAACCCTTATCTTATAAAGATAGCAAACCAATGACACATTTTTTATGTTTCGGATCAACATGAATCCACATCTGAATGCTTGTTTTATGGAGCAAGTAAGCATAGATAAAAAGTGAAAGTTTTTTAGCCTACTTTTGATATTTTGGTCCATATAGGCAAGGCAGCTTTATTTGCATAGCACATTTCAGCAACATGGCAATTCAAAGTGCTTTACATAAAATGAGTAAAAAAAAAACACACAAAAGAAACAGTTAAAAATAAAAACAAATAAAACACAAGAACAAAAATTACAGTGCAGTATAAGAGATTAAACAATAAAGAAATGAACGTTATTTAGAGAATTGCATATAAAAAAGAAAGGCAAATTATCAGATTTTTTTATGATGGAGGATTCTAAGTCTTGGGTAATAGAAATGTGGGTGAATCGTGATGAATAAATGTACCAGATTTCATCCAGAACATCCAGACACTTACACATTTCTTACGCACTTGGTCCTGATCCCTCCCACTATGGTGAGTGGAAATCTATCCGTATCCCACATCTCCTGCTACCGGAATAAGAGGAGACAAAGCGAGGAAAAGATCTTATCCAAGATTTTGCAAACATGGCGAGTCAGCAGCAACAAGTCGGGGCAGGCCGGGCAGACAGTGACGATTGAATATGAGTAAAAACTCATAAACCTGACACCGCATCAACGCGTCAGCAAATGCCTCTCGGAGCGTTTAAAACACGCAGCCACCATCTGGGTTTTACGCACTGAGGCTGCAGGAAGGTTGTTGCTGCCAACAAGTTTTTCTTTTTCCACACTGAGCTTCAACGCAGCCAGGAAGAAAGACGTCATGTTGGAAGCGTTTGGGACCCAGAGCGCAGCTGTGAGCGCACCGAGCGCAGACAAGAAGATCAGCCTGGCACCGGCAGGGATGGACAGCGGGAAGAAACTCCTGCAGAAAACTGGATCCGCTCTATCCAAGAGGAGATTCCTGGTCGCATTAGACCTACTCTGCCTTTTAATTGGTAAATATTGACCTACTCTACCTTTTAATTGGTAAATATTGCGCTTAGCCTTAAATAGGGGTTATATTATTAAAAATATAGTATTAAAGAGTTACATCATAAGAAAACATTCACGTTTTTACAGCCTTTTCAAAATACTTTTTAAAAATAATTTCATTTCCTGCATCTCTCAAATAATCAAATAATTGTACGTTTAATAGAAGTACAAACTTAAAATGAAAAGTAAAGAAGCAAAAATCTAAAAAGGGTCTTATAGAGCAAGAAAACAAAACATTTACTAGATGATATTGCAGATTTTATTAAATTATAGCATATATATTTTTATGTAAAGTCAGCAGTAAAGGGTGATATTTTATCCTACTCTGTATTCATTCAAATATTCTGCAACCAGTTGTGGAAATAATCAGACACTGCTTGGTTTTACTTGATTTTTCTTTGCGTGTTGAAATTAGTTTCTCCTTCCCCTTTTTTGTTTCATTCGTGCTAATGCTGTTCTGCTTCATTACAATTGCTTCCTTTTTGTTTAGATAACACATCATTTGATATTCAGTGTGTTGAACTCGTCCAATATGAACACTCAAATAACAGGTTTCCAAGTCAGAACTATTTTAAAATATTTTTCAAAAGTTGCATAAAACATATCAAATGGTTCCTTTACCTTAAAGTCATTTAGATCAGATGCCAGAAAAGGTCTCAGAAGGACCAGAGTGTTTTCTTCAGCTCTGCAGAGCTCACAACTGCCAGTCAGCTGGCTGAAAGAAGGCTGCCACACTTTTATAAGAAGCAGTAAGGATTAATTGTCTATATATTCCAGGTAAGGTTTGATTCGTACACATGTTGTAGTATTTTTGACTTGTCATCCTTCACATATAAAACCTGAAAATGCTCTTTTCAGAGTTTTATGAATCTCAGACTGTCATTGACTGCAGCTGAGGCTCATAAAAACACAGTGGAAAAGCCATTTAGTTTAGTGTCAGTGAAGCCCTGAAGCAAAAGCTTCTGCTTTGTTAGCAGCTAGCAGTGGTGATCTTCCAGTGCCAACCAGTTGTTCTCATGGTGTTTTGTAAATCTGTCCTTGGGGATTAACTATTTAAACAGAATTTCAAACAGGGTGGCAAATTAGCAGCACTCATATTATCATCTCACATTTATATCACAGAAAGAGATCCCACACAAACAGTAGGGATGCACTGATGTGAAAATCTTGACCGATATCAATATCTGTTATTAAAATCACAGCAATTGAAGTTATATGATTTATTCCAATTTACAATTCTCTACCCTTTGCACACCATAGAAGACCAACCACATGTGCTGACATTGCTTCTTTGCTTCAATGAAACAGCCACAACTCCTGGACTGCATCTTTTTCACATGACTAAACGAGCACAACATACTCAATCCTCCCCCCAAAAAAAACCTGGAAATAAAAAATTGGTTGTTAATATCTGCCCAGTTTTGCTTATCACACCGATATCAATATTCATGAAAATGGAAACCGACAGTTGACTCTGATATTAACACTGACATATCCTGCATCTCCAGTAAATACTTCACATGAAGAAAAATACCGTCAAGAGTTGTGTTGTAACAAGACCTCCTAACCCCTTCAGCTATAAGGGGATACATTACAAGCAGGGTATAAAGCAGCAGACTCGTATTCATATTTCTGTATTTTTATTCAACATTTATTTTATGATTAAAGTAGAAATCGAGCAAAAGAAAAGCAGCAGCACATTAAAAGAAGGACACAACAATTAGACAACAGTAAACACTGAAAGTGTAAAAATCTGAGCAATTTGACAAATAAAGAGCTAGATTTATTTGTACAGTGAAAGTTAAAGATTTTGAATAAAAGCAGGCCTTTTGTTGGATTCTTAAGGTAAAAAGGAAGAATGGTAGTATTCTGCTCAATGGGAACATTGTCTTAAAAAAATGGCGTTACAGTAAGATGAAGTTATCCTTTTCTGTTGAATATTTTTGTTTTAGATTTTTGGATATAAACTGTGACCCTATAATAATTCTATCATAGAGAAATCCATAAAAAAATGTTTGAATTAATGGAGAAAAAGACTCCATCCATATATGGACCCCTCCTTTCCCTCTCATGTGCCTTATTGAGCGCTCTGTACCAGCTGCTCTGTGCATTGCCTGGGGATTTCTGCACTTTCCATGACAACATCCCAGTTCTCAGGCTAGAGGAGCGTCTAGGGGGAAATTTAGTTTAAATAAATAAATGGGCAATTCATGAGTACTGCATTCTTTGCAGATGTACATGTGTGTGTGACCTCTAATTGCTGACCTACCCTCTGATGAGAAATAAGGGCTGATTACGTCTCATTGGCTCAATGGAAAAAAGTTGTATGCTGAAGCAGTTTATGTTACTAACAGGTTGTTCAGAAGAGAGGGGCCCTGTGAGAAGTCTCTCTATCTCCCCTTTTATCTCTCCACTCCCCGTTTTGTGTGTGCAGGCATGCAAAACAGAAACCGTGAAAGAAACAGTGAGGGTAGGATCTCCAGGGACAAGCAGAGACAGTGTGAAGCTGGTCCTGGCTCTGCTCGGCTGCTCCATTTGCTCTTTGTTTTGTTGGTCAGAGTTGAACTGGAGTCACAAACAACTCTCCCCCCTCCCTCTCTTCAACAACAGAATGCTTCTCACACACATGCGCAGTGGGAACCGGGTCTTTGTTGGAGCTCCGCTTTACTGCATTCCCTTATTTTAAGTCTTTGGAGAATTCAGCTTGTTTTCATTCAGAGCACATGAGGATCTCCAGTTTTCCTCTGTGGAGCTTCTTTCATTTCATGCCCACATTCCTGAATGTTATTTTCCTGTAAATATATTTGACATTTTCGCCCTTTCTTAAATCCCCTATGCTTCAGTTCTTACTCTTTAGCTTTGACTTTTGTTTTGATGTTTTGTTTAGCAACAGTCAAGAAAATAGGGATAATCAAACACAGTTGGTAGTTTATTTGCTCATAGTCTGTTAGATTTAATTTGCATGCACAAGGATCAAAACATAAATTGCACTGAACATTTATATTGTCATTTTTCTTTAAATTAAAAAATTCATTCTGAAATCTGTTCTGAATAATATAGAGTGTATGTGTACATCAGTGTTTTCTCTGCATATTATCAGGGAACAATATATTCTAACTGGTAACAATAGGGACCTGAACGCCCCAAGCATACTTCAAAAAACATAAGTTGTTCCCATTGTCAAGGATGACTACCATACAGTGTTAAAGTTAAAAAGTTTATTATTCAAAAGAAATTATTATAGTAAAGAAAAATCTCATAGTGTCATTAACATGACAACATCCTAATATAGGCTTTAGTTTGTTCTTGTGAATATGATATTAACAGTTATAGTTTGGAAATGACAGGAAGTCAAGAAATTTAAATGAATCTTTGATTTCTGTGTTCCCAAAAAATGTTACTCAAAGTGCGAAAAATTACCGGAAAAACAGCCAAATTTCAAATAGAAATTTAAAATTCTCAAAGAACTTGACAGCCTGTTATTAATAATGTTGGGTAAGCTTAAGAGAAACATCCAACAATGGTAGAGTGGATTTTCTGAAATTGGAGTTGTTACTAGCATTCGGTATTTTACCCCTAATAAGAACCTGACCAAAGATTTTTCAATGTTACAGAAACTAAAATCAGTTCTTATCAGAGATTGGAGCCAGCAGTTGGTCAGAGCAAGGCCATAGATGGTTCCTGGAATCTCAAAAATGTACATTTTGTTAATACAAGCTCTATTTTCTAAACTTAAACACAACTTTCCTTTTTGTATGGAACAATTAATGGCATAGCATCATGTGCTTCTTTACTGAACATGAAAACATGTTAACATTTTTTTTTTCTTAGTGGCTTAATGCTTCTAATTTGATTTCTGTTTTGCAAACCCTTCCTTTTTAAAGTAATGTTATGTGTCACTGTCTGAAAAATTCCTCACTGAAAAAAAAAGCAGGCTTTTATTCAAATAGCTGTTTTATGATAATCGAACGGTGTGGCTGTAGTTTAAAAAAAAAGGAATATATAATTGTATAAAACACTCCTACACTTTTGAGTCAGACAGATCTTATTTATAACACCTTCTGTCTTCACCTTCTTCACAGGAGGTGTGATAAGTTTCTGATCACACCTCCTACGAAGACAGAAGTCTGCCATCAAAATAAGACAGGTAGGAAGCATGAATGGTAGGGAAATTCCCAGCAGCGGAGTGAAATGCAAATGCAAGCTTATAGGTTAAAAATATAAAGACAATTGAGAAAAAAATAAAAAGAATAAAGGAATGTTCAATAAGGTCAAATATGCGACATGGGAAAAAACATTGCCGTCATTGGTTGCCGATTAAAAGACATATTTAATGTGTTGGAAGGAGTGATGGTTATGAAGTGTAGGAGTTGCGGGGAGGAAGGATCTGCAATGACAATCCTTTGTGCATTTAGGATGCAATGTGTACGTGAAGGAGTTTTCCTGCTCTGCAACAGCTTCATGCACAGAGTCCAAAACATTGTGTTATAGGCTTTTACGCACTTTATAGAAAATGTTTCAAATTGACAATTGATTTAAAACCAGTAAAGACAAATTTCTTTTTTAAAAAGTTACTTAATCACTGCAGTGATAATATTTCAGAGTACTGGTCATTTTTAGAAGGCTTAAAATGTTAGTTTGTGACGTGTTTGTCCCTACATCTTATCCAATAACAGACCCTTTTCTTAGAATTACAGCATTGCTGCTTTCTAACAAGGAATAAGTCTTTTACAATGGACAAAAGAAGAATTGTGGTGACAGCTGCCCAACTCTCTGTTACTGATGTATTCTGACAGCATTAGATTTTTAGCAGCACCAGAAGGACACCAGCAACACACAGGTCTTAGCATCTGCTGCTCTCTGAACGCATCCTGTGAATTATCTCTATTGGCTAACTTGGTTTCCACATCTTCTCTGTCCATGCAGCATCGATTCCTTTCTTTGCCTGTGAGCTGAAGGCAGTGGGCCCTTTCAAAAGAGGCTTCATATGCGGAGACCCCAGCATCACCTACCCTCATCTACGCAATGAAGCCATACCAGATGAGCTTCTCATAGCAGGTGGAATCTTCATCACAGGCCTCGCGGTGCGTGATCAAAATTTACCCCCCTTCCTTTAAATCAGAGCTTTTCTTCTTAATATTTATACTGATCCCTACCTCATTTTTTCTCCTTCAGATTGCTGTAGGGGAGTGTTGCCGGGTGCGTATCCAAAGCACAAGCTCAAAATCTTTCGTGAGGAACCCGTATATTTCCTGCCTGTACAAGGAGCTGGGCTCCTTCCTGTTTGGCTGCTGTGTCGGCCAGTCGCTCACCAACATGGCCAAGCTCGGTGTGGGCCGGCTGCGACCTCACTTCCTGTCTGTATGTGGGGTCACCTATGCTTCGCTCAACTGCACACCAGGAACCTATGTGGCAACAGTGACCTGTCTCAATTCTGACCCTCACTTAGTGGAAGAGGCCAGGTGAGAATATGAGTGATTTTCTGGATCATTAAGCCACCACTATGCACAACCCGGGTGTAGAAATAAACAGCTGCAGGTCTATAGATTACATTACTGTAACAAAGTTCCTGTATTTCATCAATTCAACTTTAAAAGTTAGTATTATACATCATATACAGTCATTCAACAAGTTCAAATCTTTATGGAAAGTATGTAATTAAAAGTTTACTTATTTCACTAAATAAAACAGACTTTATCGACAATTAACTTGCAGATTGAGATATTTAAGCCTTTGTTTTTGTCAGTTATGAAGTTTTTTCTGCTTATGGCTGTAAAAAAAGAAAATTTCGGTTGAATGAAAAGTCTGTTTTTACATGCTTAAAGGTTGTTACTTTAAAAGGTACCTTTAACAAGCCTCATCAGAACGCAGATTCTAAGGCAATGAATAAAAATGTAGCTTCCTAAATACAGAGGAATACTTCCCAATCACCTCTTTCTGTAAATATTTGACAAATTTAAATCCCAGCTAATGAAATCCCAAAATTTTCACTGAAGTTGTAATGCCAATAAAGACACATAAAAAGTGTTTTTAGTTCCAGAATAGAATATAAATATATTTATATCCCATTGTTTTGAAATTGACATGATTTTGAAATAAAATCATGTGTTTCTGGATTTTCTTTTTAATTGTCTTCACTTTTTCTGTTTTTGTAGGAAATCCTTCTTCTCTGGCCATGCTTCCTTTGCCATGTACACAATGCTCTATTTAGCGGTGAGTTTGGATGTTCTCTATCTTTCATACACGTCAAAATGGAAATGCATGAATAATTTAGATAAATACTGCTTTATTTTTTTGAAATAATAATAGTAATATAGTAATAGTAAATAATAAGTAATGCACTACATTTGTACTTTGTTAAATAAATATGGAAATTATTGCATTTTTATTTATTTTATTTAGTCAGTTGTCAGAAATCTTTTCTATTTAAATCAGTGTACAGGGCTAAAATGTTTACAAAGTGATTGGTCTGCTGGTTGGTTGTGCAAGTTCAATAATAAGTCATCAGCATCTGTTTAATAGGTCTTAGTAAAATTTAAAATAATTTAATAACTGACTCCTAAACACATTATGAAATGAGGAGTGCTTCATTTCATAAAAATAAATAAAAAATCAATAAAGAAAATAAGACATGTTGCAGCTGATCTACAGCACACAATTAGACGTCCAAACTGGTTTGGTTCTGTTATATATGTATTTGGATAATAGACTCAAAAACTTTGCTTTCCATCACTTTTAAATGAATGAAATTTGCAGGTTCAAATTAATTGCATTTCCTCTATCCATGAATTTGTGCAGTTTGGTCATTAAAATGTGATCTGAATATTCATAAAAGCACAAAAGCAAATGGATTTAAACATATATTTGAATGAGGTTTTGCTATTAATTACACTATTCAATACACTAAGTTATTTGTGTGTTTATTAAATAAAACTCGCTGTGTTCTTGTCTTTTGGGAAATTTTCTGAAACACAAATTTATTGTCAGTCCAGTTTGCAACAAAACGTGCAAGAATGAGAGAGGAGAGGAACTGACAGATACACGGCAAACAAAGACTGCTTTGTTTTGTTGTTGTGGGAGGAGCGTTAACATCGCCCCACAGCTCTACTGTATTATGTGAAAATGTGTGTGTGTGTAGGTGTGGGTGGGTGAATGAATGTGTGTCTCTGCATGATAATTAATTACGGTGCATTCAAAAAGGGTTTTACTTTGGTTTCCTGATGTTTTTTTTAAACCAAGTTTACATTTATAAAATGTACTGGTTAGAAAATGAAAACTTTTCAGCAAAACCAGAGTTGTTTGTTTAGTTCATGTTAGAGATAAAGCTCATGACTATTCAAGGTCTGCATAGATAAAGGATGAGGCTTATTTGTGGTAATCAGACTTACCTTACACCATCACTGATTACTCTGCTGTTATTTTCACTGTGAGATTTAAAGCCTGTGTGATGTAAACATCACTATCTTTACTGTTGATCTTTACTGTTGGCGCTGTGAGCTCCAGCTGTAAAAAAAAATGTGCCATCAGAAACAGGGGGCGCCAAACACTCAAAACTCTGACTCGGATTCAGACAGCAAGTAAACAGGAAAAACAATGACGCTTCTATTCAAGAAATACAGTGAGGGGGGGGTTTGTGTTTTTTAGACAACACAAAAAAATGCATTGCTGCCCTGGTAAAAATGACTCTGTCTCTTCTACTGTCTTCTTCTTTGTAGACAGTTAATAAATGAGTCCGTCATCACTTTATATAAGCTTTATTGAAAAAGAAATACTGCAGATTTGAAGTGGTTCAGCTGACCTAAAATTTTTAAATAAACTGCCGTGTGCTTGTTAACAAGGTGAAACTAAAGCATGTTTGAATAACAGACAAGCTTAACCAAACTCCTTAAAAAGTCTGGCTCTCTATTGGCTCATATAATGAGAACCTATAGTTTCCTTGTTAAAGTAGGTCTCTGCTTAATTTTTACAATCTCACCAAGTTAAAGCATGCAATAGGATTAATTACAGAATGGCACATTTTTGCAATAATGTTATATAGTACTGTTCATTTTTTTAACTAAGATTTATTTGATCAGTCCACTATGCATGTATACAAAGTTTAAGTAAGGACATTTTTTTCTAAAAGTTGACACAAAGAAAAACATTCATAGATATACAAACCCGACAAAATGTTTTGAATCAATATTAAGCCGATTGTTTCACCTGGTTGCAAAGAAAAAGCAAAAATTATTTAATCAACAGCTGAACATTTTGGCTTTGCGAAAAAAAAAATGTTTTGAGTTAATCCAAGTTTTTGGAGAAAAAAAATGGGGACCGTTCAATTAAAAAAATGTTTCAAGAGTTTCGTCTGATTCATGGAAAGAAGCTTGAATCATATCAAGTCGTTTTTTAATACCTCTGGAACAACAGTCAGCTTTTGAAAAAAAATCTAGATGTTATTTATTTCCTCTTTTTTTATAACATCTCATTCATAAATAGTGTTTCTTTGGTATTCTCCTTTGTATTAATAAACTTTTTTTTATCTCCAGTTCTACCTGCAGGCCCGGCTGACGTGGCGAGGGGCCCGGCTGCTCAGGCCGATGCTACAGTTCCTCCTGGTCCTCCTGGCGGTCTACACAGGTCTGACCCGTATCTCGGAGTACAGGCACCACCCGACGGATGTGCTAGCAGGATACATACAGGGGGCCCTCACTGCTTACTGGGTGGTCAGTAAACTTCTCCTTCTCTGTTTGGCTCATCAGAGCGTGGCCACCTGTCAGTTTCTGCTCATGTCTCAAGTTGTGTTTTGTTTGTTTCCCCCCTCCCCAGGCGATCTACATCTCACCAATGTTTAAAAGCTGTAGCTCAGACCTGTCTGCAGATGAGACACCGGACAGCCCCCTGTCTCCCCACCACACTGTCTGCTAAACCCACAACCTACAGTACCTTCAGACTGCAAATGTGAAGAATGTTTGGCAATTTCCTCTGGAATCAAAAGACATACCTCAATGTTTGGGCAGAGAGCAGAAAAAGACTATCTGGACAATCTCTGCAGCTCATAAAAAAACATAGAAGTGACTGAAAAGTAGAAAGGAAAAGTGACTGAAAGCTGTCTGTTGTGTGGACAGTCTGCATTCTTTCCTTGTGACTGATCACGCCCCACCTGCCTGTAAGATGAGACTGAAAACAAAAGCCACCATAACTTTGCACCACTTGTAAATATATACATATTTTTTGAGCACATAAGATAATGTCAAAGCACTTTTAATTTCCAATGTAGTTTTATTACAACTCTGCAATGAATAGAATGTAATTTATATATTTTTTTATAAACATAGATCACTTTATTTAACTGTTTAAAATAATCTTGTATGTTTCTGAAGGTAAGCAATCCTTTTCTTCATGTTTTTTTTTTGTGTCAGATGTTATATATCCTGCATAGTAAAGATGACTAATCGACTACCTGACAGAAAATAACACATATAAAGGTATTGAAACAATTTGTCAGCCATTTCTATTGTATGTATCTGTCAGCCTCAGATACAGTGTTAGAAATAAAATCTTTTATACTTACTTTGTTTTGATTTTGTGTTATTTTGCTCTTGACAATATTTTTTTTTATACAAATTTGACTTTTTACAGCACTAGTGTTTTTTTTCTGACAGTAGACTGACAGGAAAGGGTATGAAAGAGGGGGAGAGACATGCGGCAAAGGACGACAGGTCGGATTCGATCCGGGGTCGGCCAGATCAATGACTAAGGCCTCCATACATGGGTCTTGTGCGCTAACCACTGCACCACCGAAGCACACCACTCTTGATAATATTAACATAAACTTAGTTAGTAGTTACTTGGGCCTCATGTGAATCTAGAAACACTACTACACCAAATACCCCTTTTTAAACCTTGACTGGATTTTTCTTTCAATATCTATTGAGTGACAGTGTTGGAAAATGACTGTCATTTCAGAGTGCATGTGCCTGTGAGTCATGTTCACTCATCCTGTTGATTTACTTCCGCTCTTCTGCACAGACTTCCACCATGTTTTCTTTATTGTTTATAAGAGAAGTAGTTAAGATTTTTTTTTCACGCAACATTTTTTAATCGTCGTGATTCTTACAACCCTAAAAAACATTTAAAAGAGAGACTCATCTCTGTTGTTTCTGTAGCAGTTAATCAAAACTTAAAAACAATACAAAAACACTTTAGAACTGAGCAGATTTATAGGCTTGAGTTTTAGCAAGCAACACATTTTCATAGTTTTCCATATTTCTATTGAATTTAATTAAAGGCATTTTTTTCATATGCAAGGGAATTTCATCCGAATGGTTTTTACCTTTTCAATTTAATAAATGCTTTAAAGGACAATAAATATGTATATTTTGTATGGGGCGGAGTAAAACAACTGGTTCTTTTTATCTCTAAGATTAAACAGTTTGGGAAGTCAGTTAAACTTTATTTTTTACAGCAAACATTTCTAAATATGTCTAATAAAACTGTATAATGTGATGCAGGGATTCATACTGATGCTGCTAAATCTCATGAAGGAAATGACATTTAACACCATGATTCACATTCTAGAGTGATTTGCATTCATCTTTACTAAAGATTGTTATAGGAAGTATACACCCTTATTTGCTGGTATCATCAACAGATTCAAGTGAAAACAGTCTATAGAAGGAAGTTATTAGTAAAAAAAAATCTTTATTACATCAAAAGAAGTAATACAATCTTTATATCTGTCATTAAAATCATACATAGTCAATCTTAAAATAATTTTCCTGATTTATATTCCGAGTTCTTCTTTGTTACCTGAAATTAATGTCAACATCTTAATAGCTGGAGCCTAAAGAAAGCTCTTAAATTTACTCAGAAATGTCACGATTATATTTAAACAATAATCCAATTTAGCTTGTAAACATTTGGTAAAATTCCCTTAATTTGATTTGGGATTGGAAATGTTGTGCGGCTGCTGCCTTTAGTAGTTCCAAACTGATCAAAAGGTTTTTAATTTGATAATAAATATATGTAGAGTTTCCAGCTAAGCTGGCGATACAGGAAGATAGAAAAGTTTTATCTCTCGGAAAATTAAAATATACCCCTTTAATATTTGCTCTGTGTTCAACACTCTAATATCTAAAGCTGCAATGATCTTCAAGATTTTTTTTAGGCTTTTGCTAGTTTTTACATAAGTTACAGTTCAGTGGTTTGCTAAAATAATCTAAATTAGGCCACTTAAGACACTTCCAAAATGTAATGGCCAACTGGTTATGTGTCAATGTGCAATTTATCAAAGAAACCAATTAAATTTAGACCAATGAGCACTTTGTTACCTGAGTCTAATAGACTAAAATTTTCCCATCGCTTTAGCTTCAAACGTCCCAAAACATGACACAAATAAACTGAAAATCTGATCAGCAAATTATCAATTTTTTTTTTAAAGGCAGGAGTTTTATATACTTATCATCTACCTTTTCTTCTTTTTTTCAAAGCACGTATTTTACAATGCTCTACCGTGGTCGGATACTTGTAAAGAACAGGACATTTGTAAAATTTAAATATCTATTTATATAAAAAAAGAAGTGATTTTTCTCTAAAGGTTGAGGATGTGAGAAAAACCACAGAAAATTCCATGACTTTCATGCTGTTTTCTTTTAGATGTTTAATTTTACCTTACTTGCTCATAGTAGTATGTCAATATGTTGTGTGTTAAATCCTGTACCACACAGTATAGAGTGCTGGCTATTAGACCCCTTCACCATTTCATACATTTGCATTATTTATTTATTTTTATTTTCTTCAAGTTGTTTGGGAACTGAATATTTACCATCATTGCTTCCTTCTTAATGACTTGTCTTCATGGTGTTTGACTCAAAACTTAAATGACTTATTATGTTGGTTCAATCGAGGTTCACAATCCATGTTTATAGGATGTTATATAAAATCTAAGCTAAATAGTTTAATTTGAAGTAATATTAGCTCATTATTATAAGTATTCAACTCCGTGATTCATCAATAAGACTACTTTTAAATATATTTTTAAAATAAGGTTCTGGTTTAATGTGGATTAGGTGGTACTTGAGATTAAGATAAAAGCCAGTTTTATTATCTGATTTAAAATGTTTAAAAAACATCATTATAGGTAATGCAAACACCTTTAAGCTGTTGTTTTATCTGCATTGGAAAGTTATGTAACCAAACTTTTGCAAAGGCATAGTCATTATTATTGTTATTTATACTAAATGAAAGTAAAAGGTGGTGTACCACTAATTATCATCCTGCATCAAACAATTTCTACAAACTAAACTTTAATCAAAATTGTGGCGGTGAAATGACCAAAATGAACTTTTACGCTTTATTCAGTAGAATACTGTTCTAGAAGATAGTAACTCTGATCAGAAATGTTTTTCATGTTATTTTCTTCCGCTGTGTTACACGAAGGTTATTGCTACCAATAATATATTTCTTTATATGTAATCCTTGGCTTCTTTGTAAATAAATCTGCACTGTGGTCAAAGGTTAAAATGGTATGCATAAACCTCCAAGATATCTTTTTAAACTGAAAGTGTTTTGTTCCATCAGACCCTATTTTCACAACCTGACTGCAAGCATTTTAAACTACCAAGAAATAAACCGATATGAAATGGTCCAGTGGATGTTGTGTTAACAGCTATTAGGTATAACATTAAGGTATGAATTGGCAAAGGGGGCAAACTGACCCAGAATTCACAGTAGATGTATTAAGTAGCATTTATTTATCCACTTTTAAATTGTACATAACTATGTTTTCTAATTCTTCATATTTTTTTAGGCTTTTTTAAAAGAACACCATAATTTCTCCTTCAATAATAACAAAATCTTATCACTTCTTTGAATGCCGTCATCTGTCTTTGCGCACACAAACAAAAAAACATGAACATTTATTTCACATGTTTACTTGAACTTCAATAGCAATACAAGACAATCAGAACACTTGAGGTCGATATGTACAAGGATCTCAGGAGGGGTTGCAGAAAATTTCTGAGATTTTACACGATCTCCGGTTCTGCAGTCAACGACTTATCGTTCGTGGAGCCTCTGTGAAAGTTTTGGCCTTGACGTGAAATGGGTCGAGTCAAAATCCAGAGGAGAAAAGAGAAGGAGAGCTCCTCCAGTTGGTTTGATAAAATGCTTCAACATGACACATTTAATATACAATAATGATTTATATACACATACTTTCTCTTTCAAACGCACATATATACATCCTTACACACACGCATGCTCATCAAGCTATGCACACTCACTCGCATGTACGCGTCAGCGCGTCCTCCTACAGTATGTAGCCTTGCAAAGCCACTATAAAGTCATGCATGAGTTCTTTGAAAGGTTTTTTTTGGCAACACACAAGTGCTTCTTTGACACACTGTTTGCTACAGGGAGGGGCAACACCCAGCCGATGGAGCAAAACGTAGAGACATGGACCGATTGAGGAAAGCACCAATGAGTCGGGAAGACACAACAGGGTTTGAAGATAGAGAGAAGAGGGAGCGGCAGGAGGAGAAGCAGCTATAAATGGATCACAGTCGTACAAAAGTAACAAAAACACGGTGAAAGGGGGGGAGTCTCGTGGTGATCAGGGTGTAGAAGCAGGGAGGAGCCATCATGTAAATGACAGAATTGGTAAAGTTGTCCATCATTGTTATTTTTTAAAGCGTCTTAGTTTCAAAGTGTTGTTTACTTGTTGAAATTATCACCATCTTCCTTCTCCTCCCTGTTGTCTAAACCCCAATCACCACCGCCCTAGTCACAGGCTCGTCACCCGCTGCATCTGTCCGTCGTCTCCGTCAGAGGTGGGTTCTGCCGAGTACCCTGTCTCTCCATTTGAAGCTAATGGCGGGGGCTGGTAGAAGGTCTGAAGGTGATTGGGCCGTGGTCCCAGCGGAGGGCGCCCCAGGCTGTAGGGCAGCTCCAGAGTCGGCCGCTGGGGCTGATGCCCACTGGTGGGGCTAACTTCTTCCGGGCCTTCGGGGCTGCTGTCTGGGTACATGTGAGTCGGCGGGGAGGTGCGGGTGTAAAAGCGGGGAGGGGAGCCACTGCGGCTGTACACCTGCGGAGAGTGACGGGAGTAGAGGTTGCCTGGAGGTGAATTGTCCTCTCGTTGAGAAAAGATGTTTGAAGGAGGAGAGTTTCGCGAGAAGATGTTTAGTGGTGGCGAGCGGCGGTCTCCAGGGTACAGAGGGGAAGGGTTTGAATCTCGGGTGTAGATGGGTGAGGAGTCAGGGTCCAAGTCAAGATCGGGAGTCAAAGGTAGGGTGAAGCTGTCTGAATCCTGTCGCTCGCCATGATACCGGAGAGACCCTCTGTCTTTTCCTCTGATCCTCCCGTCGAGGCCTCCGTCTTTGCTTTCAAATGAGAAAGACTCCTCCCTGTCCAGATCTATCCCCCCTCTCCAAACATCCAGTGCTCTGTCCTTTTGTTTCTCACTCTCTCGTTCGATCCCTGCCCTCCACCCATCTCTGTCCTTCAAGAAAAAGGATTCATCTTTCTCTCTCTCTATCTCACTTCTCCAACCATCCATCCCAAAATCTTTCTTCTGAGTAATAAAAGTCTCTCCTTGCTCTGTCTCCCCTGACCTCCACAGCTCCAGTCGTCCATCTCTCTTCTCCAGCATTTTAGAGTCTTCCCTCCCCCTCTCAATGCCAGCTCTCCATTCATCCATCGCACCATCTCGCTTATGAGAGGTAAAAGGCTCATCTCTCCCCCTCTCACTTCCTCCTCTCCAGTCATCATTCATTCCATCTCTTTTCAGAAGAAATGTCTCCTCTTTTTCCCTGTCCTGGCCACCTCTCCAAGCCTCTACAACTGCTTCTCTCTGCTTCATAAGCAATGGCTCTTCTAGAGCCTTGTATAAGGACTCGGGCTCTTGTGGTGGTGGAGGAGGAGGTGGAGGGAGGGGTCTGTCTCGGTAACGATCCCTGTCTCGCTCCCTGTCCCTCTCCCTGTCTCTTTCTGTGCCTCCAGTCGACTCTGCTGTGCTGCGGTGGCGGGACAAAGTGCCAGGGGTGCGGCTAAGGGTGGAGTAAGGCCGAGCTTGAACATCTGGGGGTCGTGCCGGCAGTCTTTCCTGGTGTCCACGCCGTCCCAGAGTCCCTTGCAGCTGCGAGCGGTCTCCATCTTTCAGCAGCTCCTGGGTGTCCGAATCCCCAGAAATGCGCCCGTGTGACCAGCCATCTTGTAAGCGAGGCGTGGTAGCATGGTCTTGAACACGTGTAGGGGCGTTTGTCTCATTGTCTTGTGTTGTCTGCCTAGCATGTGCCCAGCCCTCTTGTCCATTCCTCTGGGAGCTTGGCTGCACCGTGGCAGACCAGCCCTCTTGTGAGGCCTGTGTGTGGCGGGTTAAAGTAGCGGTGTGAGTAAGAGCTGGCCTTTCGTGGTGATGCGGCCTCGCCAGGCTCCCGTAGCGCTCTGGTGGAACAGGCATGGGGACAGATGGCCGCAGATTGCTCTGTACCAGCTCTGAGATGATCATCTTCTCCAGAGCTGCTGCGTCAGACAGATTACGACGCATTCCGGCTCCACTGTTCATATCTGTCGAGCCGTGTGGTGTGAGGAGGCCAGGGGAGATGTCATCCCCTCCAAGTCCAACCCCTCCCTCCCTCAGAAGATCAGCACTGCCCACTACTCCTGCTCGGGACCCAGGTGTTGTACCCAGACCATGAAGGGTGAAGGTGTTGGGGGTGTAGCCTCCATTCAGACAAACACTGTCCAATGCACAGGATTCCTGGCTCTGTGACACTCCACCCTCTGTCAGAAGAAATAAGAATACACAAGTTAAAGAAAAACAGAAAGCTCTAAACAGGGCAAATAATGATCAACAAATAATGAATGAATGAATAAAGATTAGAGTTCACATGTTGTTGATGGTGGAGGTTTAGCAGAATGATTTAGCAAATATAAAAAGCTATTCCTTAATGAAATGCCTTCTTATGTTGCCACATGAAGAGATGCAGGTTGTGCCTTTACAGTGCCTTTCAAAAGTATTACCATATCTTAAACTTGTTCCCACTTTGTCACTTTACAACCAGTAGCACTTAATAGAGGTTTTACATTAAACTGTTATGGATGTTAGATAAATAAAAAGCTATGTAGAGCCCCTTTCTGCTGAAATTACATCCGCAAGTCTTTTGTGAAGTAGTCTGCCATCTTTACACATCAGATTCAAACATTTGCACTTATCTTTGTTGAATAGCTACAGCTCAGCTGGATTTTCAAATCTGGCCACAGAATCTCAGAGGGATTTAAGTCTGAACGTTGATTGCGACACTTAGATACTGTACGTTGACATGATTTGATCAAAACAATGCAACTGAAGGCTCCCGTCTTATATTTAGTGCTGCCATCTCCTGGAAAGTAAACCTTGTCAGGTAAGAATTTCGATTGATTATCCCATTTGTTATCATCAAGAATCAGGTCAGCATTTAAAAGAACCATGCCACCTCTTTCTTTTCTTGTGGATAATGTCTTTTGTTGCGTTGCATGTGCTATATGACGATTCATAAAATACCAGCTTGAGATGTTTGGCTGTCTTTTTTTTTTTGGCCTCAGAGCTCCAGCACCAAACTAGTCTCCTTTAGTTGTCTGTACTAATGGAATGAAAGAGGGTATAAAAAGTTAGCACATCTCTGTTAGAACAGAACAGGGCAGACCAAATGCGGGTTTTAATGTTTTTCTTTTCTCATTTTTGCAAGATTTAACAATAAAATTGCCAGTATGAATATCATCATCAATCTCCTGTGTTAATTGGATATACTCAGGTGCATTATTTATATTATCTTCCATTTACAGCCTATCCATCATTCTAAAGTCTTTCATAATTTCTGACAGCTTTTCTTGAATTATATTCATTTATCATGTCCATCATAATTCATTGATCATAAGTCCATTCAATTTTCCTGACTCTGATGAATTAAAGCATCCACCAGCCATGATACTGCCACCCCAGTGTTTTGCAGTTTAGATGGTTTATATCAAGTAGATGTGCCTGGTTAGTTGGGAAAAAAGGTCAGCTTTTGAGAGCACCTTCTTCCACATGTTAGCTTTGTCCCCAATACAGCTTTTAGAAAAGGGCTCCATTTTAGTAAACAAATGGCTTTGTTTCCTCTTTCATTAACGCCTGATACGATGGGTTCACAGCTGTTCTACTGGTATATTCCCATTCAAGCTGTAAATCGTTGCAGATGCTATAAAAAATAATGTGGATCTCTTTCCAGACCGCTTTTATTCTGGTTTAAATTTTCTTCTATTTTCACGTTAAGCACTTTGAATTGTCCTTTGATTTGGACTGAATTGTGCTTTACAAATAAACTTGCCTTGACTTAATGATCATGTTTTAATGTAACATAAATCTTCCATTGTTTCAGGGTGAACATGACAAAATGTTGAGAAGTACAGGAGTGAATAATTTGACTGTATGATTTGTGTTACTTTCGGTGGCCGTTGCACTGAGAGCCCATGAATTGAAAGAAATGGCACTAAATGATTTAAAGGAGCACAAAAAGAAAGGAGTCATACTCTGTTTGTTTCTGAAGGTTCCTAATGGTCGACATAAAGACAGAGAGACAGAGAAGGAAAGTGTGAAAGACATTAATAAAAGACAAAATATGTAAACAAAGAAATAGCAACAAAATATTTATCAGCTCTGACACTGAAATGAAATTAAAAAACCTTAATGTTCAGGAACAGAAAAAGACAAAAAATATTCAGTCATTCAACACAATAGATAACTATAAGAAAACATATTTTGCATATAAATATTGCTTATTTGTCAGTTTTTATTATTAGACATGCATAATATCTATATCAACTCTTTTAAGTTTTACTTAAAGTTGTTTTAATTTGTGCTGTGCAGTAGCGTGCTGTTAGAAGTGCATTTTTTTGTCATTTGCTCTAAAGCATCAGAGCAGCTCCTTATGGCCAAGCAGCAAGAGGCTGAGGGCTAAAGCTGGCGCTGGGGACATCAGGCTGCAATGTGTATTTATGTGTTCAGCTTAAGCTCTGAGCCTCTAACTTTGATGGAATATATTGGATTTGAAAACTTGGCAGCTTCTTGGAAAAGATTTTACACATGGTGGGAATATTTATGATCTAGAAAATAAACTATAGGGGCTACTGTTGCTAGCAGTTCTATAAACAAGCAGGGATAGTTTAAAATACCTTAAAAATAAATCTCATTAAATCTCCTTTGATGTAATTCACTAAAAGGGTCATTTTCTATATAAATAGTAGGCGTCTATTTTCCAGCTCTTTTCCGAGTCTCCTTTAATCTTTCACATGCTTTAAAATGGACTTGGCTCAAGTATGATTATTAAATATTCTATCCCAGCTACATTATGAGGATTTTCCCCTGTAAAGCTGTAAAGTTCACTCCATTGGTTTTTAAACTGCCATTATGTTACAGCAATCCTTTATTACCTCCTAGTGCTATAAAAAAAAAAAAAAAGCCGCCCCCAAAAAATTCCTGGGTTTTTTCCTTTGGTGTTACCTCTAAAGATTCAAGGTTGGCATTTGGATACAAAATCCAACACATTATTTAATGTGAGCATTTCCATTATTGGTGAATTTAAGACATAATTTTGTATTTCACCAGCTTATATAGCTGGATTATCTAAAATAGGGGGGGCAGGTTGGTAAAAAATAAAGACAAAATAAAACTGTAGTCTAACCTTGATATTTACCAGATATATTTTAGATTCTTTGGCAACATGTTGGTGCAGCACACAGGACAAACAGCTCTGTTCAGTAGCTTTTATAAACTGATAGCTTGTTACTGGTTGTAGCATCAGGTCACTAATAAATGTCAACATATGAGGAAGCTCGTGGGTCCTGACCTAAACGCCAACGCATCGGCAGAGCACTCTGGGATTTGTAATATTAGCGGTGCCTGTGCTTTCTACCAGCTCTAACAGAAAGATGAAATGATCTCGCAGGCCATGTCTAATTTCATTATGCTGTTAGCCAAATTTGGCCAGCAGCTTTGAGTCTGACACATATGATCTAAATCGTTAGACTGTCACCAAAAAAAAAGACAAAAAGCAAAAGAAATGGGCTCATGGTTTTAGATGGCGTTTTAGTTCAGATGTAGAAGCTCTGCAGCTGAACATGAATACCGATCATTTAGGCAATTATGAGGTTATTATGCTCATTATGACCAGAATTTGACATGGAAATTTGAATAGGGGTATCTGTATCCCTCTCTTTTGTTATACTTTAAAAGTATTGAAAACAAGAAAATTTTTTACTTTCACTATTAGTTTAGTACTATCAGTTTTGTATGAAAAATAAGAATTTGAAGTGACTCTGCAGACACTTTGAAGAAACACATTGAGGTGAAGCAGGTGTTCTGTACCGAGGAAGTTAAAGTATTGTGCTCTTTATCCGGGATTCGGGTAAAAACCAGAAGAGTCACAAATGATTTACTGAGACGTACCAGTGGAAGTGAAGGGTTGATTGTATCCCTGCGCCAGCATTGTGTCATAAGGAGAAGCTCCAGCATGAGTCTGTAGCATTTGATTTGTAAGAAAATGGTTTCCCAGAGCAGCTGATGGAGAAATAGAGAGAGAGAAAAAAAAGTCAAATGGTTATTTCTTTTTACAGCATGCTGAAAGAAAAGCAAATGGCTAAACCTCACCTCTGTTAAGTGTCGGAGTGTTGTTAACATCTGCGGCGATGAAAGAGGACTCGGTCTGCCTGCGAACCGTGTCGTTCCACATCCGTCTGATGCGACTCTGGAGCAGAAAGGAGCTCGTGGTTAAAAAGAGGCTCAGGTCAAACAGAGACAAAGCCTACAGCGGGTAAAATGCATGGTCGCACACCTGTCTGTTTGCTGTAGCTCTTCGACTTTGGCTGCCTGTGTAGCGGCTATTGGAGCGAAGAGCAGCACCTTTCACTGAGTCTGGAGAGCTGGATGTGGATGTTGCACAGCACTGAGAGAGACGCAGGCATCGGCCATAATCCTTCTGACCCTACACACCATTACACAAATAGTGCGTTTAGTCATAAATAACAAACAAATATAATTATGTAATAACTGCTGAATGCTAAGGCTGACCTTCCTAGCGAGGGTGCAGTGGAGGATGGTGATGAGGAGGGCCTGGGCTGTGTTGAGGGAGGAGAAGAGATAAGCCAGCAGGAGAGATGGACCTGACAGGAACATTAAGCCTGACGACCAGGTGACACTCAGCAGGAAGAGAAGGGTCAGAGAGCCCACCGCCCAGGCCCTGCAGGCGAAGTAGGATGACGAAACAAGATACATGAAGTTCACCTTCTGACAAATTTATTAAGAGCTTATATATCTAGAGCATATTCAGTCCCATAATTAGATTTTAGAAATACTGTTAGTGAAACATGATCCTTTTTCACAAAACTTTATCAAAAAATATATAAAAACAATCCCATATTTAAAGGGTATGTTTAGTTTAGATTAAGGTTTAACTGTTTCCTAGTATAAAATAAGTATATTACACTGTGTTTAATGTGATAGACCCACCAAAATGTACAGATATATGTGAAATTGTGAAATAGAGAGGAAAGTTTTAATGGTTGCTGACATTTATAGAAATAAATAAAAAAATAATACTGTGGCATGTGTTGTTTTTTTTAGCTCACTGTACTTTGAATCTCATGTTTAAAATCAGCTGAGCTTTAGCGATCCACTGCTACAGTGGAAGAATCTCTTAGTCATTCTACGGATTTGGTTAGAGTGGCAAGAACAAAACTGTTGTTTAAATAATCTATTAAAACTTCATCATTGGCCATGTAGGAGACACAGCATACCTGTAGAAAGTCCTCTTATCTGAAAGGAGCAAAAATAAACTGTTCGGTCCGCAGGCAACCTACCCCAAAACATTTGCGGCAAACTTACAATATTCTCTTCTAAAAAACTATTAAATCTGGAGGGTTAAAACAACAGTTGCCCCTTTATATTTAAATTTTATTTTTTGCAAAACCTTGTAAAACTCAAATTTTTTATGCTTTATTGTCTTTCACATAAAATCCCAATAAAATACATTAAAGTCTGTGGCTGTTAAGTTACAACAACAAAAACTGAAGAGGAATGTATGCTTTTTAAGGTCTGGTGTGCAAGCTAATTTTCAGTGATTAATTCCTCAGGGGAAGATGGATTATAAATATCTTAATGGAGCGTAACATTCATGTATTGTTTATTTATTAAAGTCTATTTTTATTTCTTCACATGGCTCTATTTTACATTAAGAAGATGTTAAGATAAGAATCCTGTATTAAATTTATAGTTATCTTTTGTAGGATTCTAGGTGGTGCCCATCTGGATCACCTCTCTACTTAATGTAATTGTTTAAATAACAAAACACACTAAGGAGATGACAACCTGAACCCAATTTTCTCTTAGTTTACATTCCCCAGCTGCCTCCATTCATCAAGGATGTCAAACTGTCCTCAAAGACCAATGTCCTGCAGCTTTTGAACATATCGCTGGTGCAGCACACTTCATTTAAATAGGTAAATTACCTTCTTAGCTTGAAATGAATAGTCCTGCTTATGATTTAATTATTTCAGCAGTGCTGATGCAGAGACATATCTAATAGTTGCCAGACGCTGGCACTCGAGGACTAGAGTTTGACAACTGGTTCAAAATTACCTTTTTGCTTTTTATTTTGCTGCAGGAACACAGAAAAGCTTTTGGTTCCCCATACAAGCTGAAAGCTATTTCAGAAAAAGTTTCTTTTTTTCATGTTCCTTTACTTCTGTTTTGTCCAGAACTTGAACTTGAACTGAAAGGGTACAAACATTACTTTGTGTACGGCTCGATACCATTTGGAATAAATCTTCAGCTGAAATTTTCACAGTAGTAAACATTTCTATTGGGTCGCCCAAAGCTTTTCCAAACTTCTTTGAGCTTTTGTATCTCCTCCATGGTGCAAAATATTCAACCTTAAACAAAACTGTGCCTGAGGCTTCTACTCAATAGTTTTATAAGGGAAAACAGGAAACGCAGTAAGACACGTGCATGCTTGAGCAAAGCTAATGAACAAACCTCACTCATACTCCTGGTTATGTGTAGAGCTTTACTGAGTCATTTCTTTCATATTTCCTCTCTGTGCAACATGCAGGTCATGCCGTTCTCAAAGCTTTAGAAAAGCTTTTTCAATTTTGACTTGAAAACCCTGAAATGTCCGACTTGAAACATCAAAAAAGGTGCCGTATTAAAGCCGTACATGCCATGAATTCTTCAAACATACCGATTTAAACTCATTCAGACACCGTGACCTTTACCCACAAAAAAACCCCCAGCATGAAACAGTATGACTGACCGCAGGTTGTCGTGGCGGCTGGAGTCAGGCTTGAGTGCAGCAGTGCTGTGCATCTTATGTAAGGTCATCACCAAAACAACCAGGTTGAGCTGAGGCAAATAAGCAAAGGCAGATATGTTATTTAATAAAGACAGAGAAGAAAAACATTTTTTTAAATAATGCTCAGATTTGGAAACCTCTAAATTGTTTTACATTTTCATTAACAACCACATGTCTCATCCTTCAAAGTGTTTTCTACCCATTCTTTAACAATTTGATGTTGGAGATGTAAGAGAATTGTGCTGTATCACTGCCCCACCGCTGCACCCACCTCATCTTGAGTTTATAGACTCGAAACAGATAAATATAATGTTATGTTTGATAATATCGTTGTAAACAGATCAGAGGCGTAGCCAGAAAATGTTATTAAGGGTGGCCAGGCAATAACCAATGTACACTGAGGGGGGGACAAAAGCGGATAGGTGCCAGAACCTCAGGGTCAATCTACACTGTTCCAAAAGGAAAATGAACAATCACAACATCCCTATTTTCTAAATAAAGACAAACTATACTTTCCTAAAGCCTTTGCTAAGAAATACAAGCATATATTTAAACATCCATGCAGTCTAAATAAAAGGTGTAGTGGACACAATTCTTTCAGTTTTGAGTTCTGGGGCAAACATCTTACTCATTGTCATTACTAAACTAATTTTATTAAGAGTAATTCAGCATAAAATTTATTTTTAGATGTACTAATATCTACAATAAATGGATTACTTATTATTAAAGTAGATATTTATCTCTGATTTTATTGAAGATTCCTAGATGACTTGCAGAGACATAGTTTTCTCTGTATCCCATAAAAGACAAAATCTAGTTCTGAAAAGAGCAGAATTCTGTATTTATCTTTAATGTTAGTATATAGATGTGCATAAATAACCTCACATACATATAGAAAATTAAAATTTTAAAAAAGTTAGAACATTCCACTTGAGAGTATTACTGTTACCACCGTCTGTATTATAGGGAAAAAATGATAGGGGTGGCCACAGATTGGGTAAAGGTGGCCATGGCCACCCCTGGCCCCCATCTAGCTCCGCCTCTGAAACACATGTACAGAAGTTTCCAGCAGGAAGGTGGAGCTTTGTCTGAAACCCTGCACAGTTTGCACGAATATGCAGTCTCTCAGGGAAATTTAGTCACATCCATTTTTTATCTTTCTAATGAATAGGGAAAGGGGGTAGCAGCCTGCACATTTGTTTTGTGTGGCAGGTTTACTACCCCCCCTCCTCAAATTTGCTTAGTGTCAGTGAAAGTGATATAGACCCCCTCAGGCCATGATAGAAGGGTCATTCAACTAGTTGAAAGTTGACGTATAATCACAAAAGCTATGAAAATATTTTATGAAGGCTGAAAAGTTACTTAGTGTTGGTTTAATTCAGTGTGGATGGCTTCTTGCTTGCTACCATCCTCATCCTGTTCAATGTAAAGCGATGCCAGGAAGAGGTTTTCTTAGAGTAGACATACTTTTTCCATTTTCAGTATCAGTTGTAAACTAATTCTGTATTTTCTCACCCCTTTGTTTTCAGTGATCTTATAAGACTTTTTAATGACAAATTATACAATACCCATCTAATAAAGATGGATTTATACATCTTGGATATACTAACTTTGATACGTCAAGTTTTACATTCTACGATAAAGGATTTCCACTAAATCTGTTATGAAATAACCAATGCCATTAGTGAGTGTTGCATCAATGCACCCCATCCATCTTTGCTGCCAGAGACAAAAACAACAAAATAAAGAAAGCAGCCTGTGTGTTTGTAGCACTTCTGTGCATCGAAAAAGGGAGGGTGAACGTTGATGTAGTCATGACTAGGGACTTGGAATGCAAGCTTTAAAGAGGACTAAAACTGACTCTGACAACGATTCTGAGAGTCTGTTGACATTTGAATAACCCTAAAAGCTTTACTCATTAAACAATTTAATTGCAGAGCATGTTTCATTATTACAGACTTTTAATTAAACATTTGTTTGTTTTCTATTACTTTTATCTATAACCAGTTAGCTTTTGTAAATATAAATTAAGTTTTAATTAAGTTAAAAAAGAAGTACACTTTCAATCGATTGGAGATAAAGAGTTTTTTTTTTTATAATCCCCATATCAAAATACTTTTCCATAACAGATACAAATCAAAGAATGAAGAAATATAAATGAATTATAACTTTATATAAGTGGGCTATTTGATTCAGTGTGGTAAAAATTTCAAATCAAATTATTCATCAAAATCAAGAGACTAGCTGATTGATAAAGCATAATTTACATGACTGATTAATTATACAATAGTATAATCTAACCTAGCATTTATATTCATTACAAAATCAAACTCGAAAAAAAAATAGTTTTTCGAACATATCAAGCACCTATTAGAACTCTGTAGAAGTTTTGTTTAAAAAAACAAAAGAAAAAAGTAACGGTTCATATAAGGCATCATGGATCTAACTTAAAATGGGATAGTTTCTATGTCGATCTATAGATAACAGACTGGGTCATTTCTAGAGTTTAGGAGGCTTTATATGGAGAAACTATGAATTTCTTATGAAGACCTCTTCAAATAAAAGAATGAGTGACCCCTTGGAGATAAAACACAAATTTATAAGAGATGACTCCAAACCTTTGCACAGTGGTTCAAACACTGATACCCACCGTAATGATCACAGCTACTGGTCCGAGGAAACTCCAGATGAAATAGTTATCCGTGCGCAGCCAACACCTAAGTATGGACACACACACACAGAAAAAATGAAAACCTGAACTTTTCACGTTGATATTAGACGGTAGCTAAGGCAGAGTGCTCCACAGACTCATCAACTTACGCCGTTTTTGAGCCATATCCTCTAAAATCGATGGCTGCAGACACAGCCACCACCAGCCCAGGCACGGAGTAACCACAGAGGTAAAAATACTTTCTCCTTGAATTACGTCCCTCGAACACCTCCCTCTGCAGAAGGTACAGCTCCACCGCCTCCAGGCACAACCAGCAGAAAACAGAAAGCAACGAAAAGTGCAGCAGCCCAGCAGTAATAGAGCAGAGAACCTGAAAATATAAAAGAAAAAGAAAACGAAAAATAAATGACTCGAAAATAATCTAGAACATATGCTGGTCGGCTGGTATCAAAGTACTAACTGTGTATTTAGTCTTGTTGGCACCAATGAGGAAGATAAGTTCAGTAATGAGCAGGTTGGCCCACAGGTTGCAGTGAATGGTGCTGTGGTCTGTGTGCCACGGTGCGCCCTGGCAGCAGAGGGTGATGAGGCAGGTAGCCAAACACACTAGAGCAACAGCAATGCCAACCCAGGAAACAACAAAGACCAGAAGCTCCTCTACACCGGCACCAAACTGGGAAGCAAAAGTCAGAAAGATTTGTCAGTCAAGATGTGAGAACAAGAACAAAGGAAAGCAGAAGCTGGGTGTTGGTGCACTCAGCATATGTGGATGTATTAGAGTATGGAGCTGTGTGTGTTTGTTACATAACATCTATTTATATGAATAAATCACAGCTAATAAAGAGAACATCATGCAGAGAACATTTAATTTGATTTCATGGAAGGACACAATAACGCTCTGCACGTCTGCAGCAGCTATTTACCGCCTACTCTGCGTCTGATATTTTCACTTGGTTTTTTTGTAGAGAGCACACTGCAGTCTCAGCTCTCTGTATAAGATTAAGAGAAAGCAAATAGGAAGAAAAAAAAAATTAAACTTAAAGCAACAACAACCACATTCGCCATGGTTCATTAATATTGAAATTTAGAGATATATTTTAGTTTGGAGATTAAACCTGATTCAGATTTAGAAACACGGATCAAATTAATTGCCCACACTAGCACAGACTTTAATCCATCTCTTATTTAATACTTAAACTTTAACAACATTTGAAGAAAACTATTAGGAAAAAAATAGACCAGTGTTGTTAAAACTCAGTAAGCCTTAGTTATCTGTGATTCTCTGATCGATTAGTTTAAGACTGATTATGATGCCATTTTACTTAAACACTTGGTGGGAAAGGAAATAAAATACCATGAAAAGTCTATCTTCAATCAGAACAATAATTAAAACATTTAAAATGACTGGCTGTGTGAAAAAAGCCGGAAGAGGATTCATGATTATCTTCAACACATTCATAGTGAGGAGGATATTGGTTTAATATTATGAAACTGCATTAACGAGTGGGGTCTGCAAGTCTCCATAAAAAAACTGTTAGATGTGACCTTCATCTGGGGAAAAATGCCTAATTTCCATGGCTGAGTATAGTGATGCTGTGGGCCATTTTGGCCAAACAACGTAGAAACCTTTAAAAACCACATGGCATCATGAATTCTTTTAAACTCAAGGACATTTTAAATAAAAACCTCCTTCGAGAAACTGAAGTATGGCTTATGGTTCATTTCACTGGATACCAATCTAGAGTTTATGACTGAATCAACACAGGAATCGTTTACCAGACACAAAATCAATGGCTCTCTCTGTCTGATTCTCAGCTTTATCAGCGGCCCCCAAAATTTGACCGTGTCTAAAACTGTATCATATGCGGTTATGTACAGATGTGTGACTTACAACTGGCTGCTGGTAAGTCATGAGGACAGCATAGCTGGACAGATGGTTGCATGCACAAGTTGTGTGCGTGTTGTTTGTGTGCAGCAGTCTGCAGCCCTGCGTGGACCACCTGCCGCTCCCAGAAACCCCCGAGGCGTTCCAGAAAGAGCAGTTGGGACCAAAGTGATTTTCCAGCTGGTGATGAAAATCAAAAAAAAAAAAAAAAGAACAAATGTCCCATAAATTACTTCAAAAGAAATTCCGAATCCAAACAGGAGGACTTCACTCTATCTAAATGGTAATTTTGAGACGATTAAATGCAAATAAACACACCTGAAGATGTCTGAGAGTGAAGATCACAGGCTCGGTGAGGTACACTCGGTTGGTTCCTCTGTGCACCGAAGCAGAAATGACGTGGGAGTTGACTACCAGGCTTCTGCGACTCGGCTCTTGGCCTTGAGCAAGTCCTAGTCCTAGTCGCAAAGTTGAGTTCTGGGTGGTGAGGAAGGGGCCAAGGTTCTTGAAGAGGGAGAGAACTAGCTTCACCTGACCTGCAAAAAAAACATGCAAAAGTCAGAGAGGGGAAAGACATTTAAGAGGATGTTTTCAGGCGTTTAAAGGCCACTGATATGTGATCACAAGTGGAACATATTATCGGACAACCAAAGACGGGGGAAAAAAACTAGGGGAGAAAGGACAGGGGCCAATTAAACCTGACAGGTTGAAGCTGGAATAGAACCCACAACCTTTTCACTGCAAGTGATGTATAGTTGGGCAACTTAAAGTAAAATGGTGAAAGCTCCACTGACCATTGTTGCTGTACTGCTGCAGGGCCTGGGCTGATATCTGCAGGATGCTGTCGCTGTCATAGGAGTGAGGAAATGTCAAGTCCTGTATGTCGGCCTCAGTATTTAGAACGTACACTTCCAGATCTGTAAATGAGCCAAAAAAAACACAAATATTTCTGAATGAGATAAACGAGAAAAAGATCATATATAACATGAGGATAGTCACTGAGAAAGAAAAACTGCAGGAAAAGAGAATTCAGACGTACCGACATTAGGCGCCCTGTCACTGAATCGGCCTTCGTAGAGATTATTCGCCAACAGAAATGCTCCTTTCTCAACCGCATCCAACAGCAGCGACGCAGAGCGGGACTGGTCAAGGTTGCTCATATCGGCCCAAGACACCAGGGCTTCAGGGCCCAGCAAGTTATCAGCTATCTGAACCACAGCCTGACAGAGACAGAGAAAGGCGTCAGTCTGAAGGTAAGTCTGTTCATCAATGTGCCAAGCAAACTAAAGCATGCAGGTTCTACTTTCTGCCATGTCAAAAACAACACACTTTAATGGATTGAAATTGATTTTTATGTAACAGACTGACATAAATAAAAAAAATGTGAAATGGAAGGAAAGTTCAATTTTCTTAAGACATGTAAGGTGTGGTATGCATTTATATTAGTCTCCCTGAGTTAAAAGAAACACCCATTGCTACATTTGCAGCACCTACTCTTTTAGATTGTCTTTATAAGCTCAAATCAAAGACTGAGCTCTTATACTGAACTCATTAACAAGGTGACATCTGAAAGCATGTGGCCGCACTGGGTTTTATTAAGAAGAATCAGAATAATAAAGCTCAAAATGAACTATGTATGCTTAATATTTTCGCTTTACAGCTATAATCTGTCTTGTGTTGGTCTATGATATAAAGGCCCACCTGAACATATGCTTTGCACGTCTTCTCTCTCTTCTGCAACTAAAAGAAGAAGAAAAACATCAATTAAAAGAACAATTAAACCTGCAATCACTGACATTTCCAGTCTTATTTCCCCTAAAGGTCATTCTTAACATCCGCGCCAATAATATTAATCTACCTTGTTGTAATTGCGTGCAGCGGACTCTTTATTGGCTGGTCTCAGGGCCTGGAGCTGAGAGTCCAGTATGTCCAGCAGCTGTTCAATTAGCCTGACGGACATGCTGATGTCACCAGCGTAGGTCCGTCCCCGGGTCAGGTTGACCAGCTCCCCGGCGATGTTGGCCGCATTCTCTCCGCTCTTGATCTGGAATGAGTCAAGAGTGTTTGTAATGTCAAATGTTTTGACATTTAAAAGACAGAGTGCGGTGCATGTTGCGCAGCTCCAGGGTATTTTCTAGCGCGTGTTTTTACTTTGGTCATCAGTGTGAATGTGTTTGTGTGAGGCACCGACCTTCTGTGCGATTTGGCTGACCCAGGGAGAGGTGCAGTTGGAAAGGTCAGGCCCACGGGAGTTCCAACCCACCGGAGATGACATGCACTGATAGGAAGCGATTCCTGCAGGGACAGAAAGGGGGAGACAAAGTCAAAAAACAGAGAGAACAGCAAAGGCAGGAACACAAAACACAAGCCCACACCCTCTCCTGCTTTCAAACTGGTAATCATGAAAGAATACATGGCAGAATATATTGTTTATGCATCTAGTTTTTAGTAATATTGGCCAATAATATGTAAAATAGCAGAAATTAAGCATTTTGCTTTCCCAAAATTTGAAGAATTCTCTGATCAACTGGATTAGAACCATTTTTGTCAAGACAGGGAGCGAAAACCTTTGAAAAAATAGAGGGAGAAAATCTGGATTGAATCCAGCTCTATCACTGAGAAACAGAGAAACTGAAATGATTTCCTCTCTGGATCGTGACCAGATAGCTGCTCAGTAATAAAACCAGATGTTAGGGAGCTGTAATTCCTTCTTGGATACTTGGCTGGTTCTAGCTCTCCAAATTGAAGAAAAATGATTTAATCTAGGCTGACCAAAAGGATTTAGGGGCAAACTGTAGTTTACAACTTTAACTAGTAAAGAACAGGTATTATGTATGAATTAATATGTTTGAAAATTGCGATATTCTCTGTTTGATCATATATTTAGTTTTCAACAGATTCTTCTGTGTAATTACACATAAAAAAGATTTTCTTAGTTTTATAGTCTTTAGTCTTTGTTGCTGATAAAGACAAAATAAGCAGTCTTCTCAAAATAAAGCGCAGTGTAAAACTTTATAAGCAATCCACTCAACTGTTTCATAAATTCATTAAAGTACTAATTAATGGACAGTTACTCACACGCTCTGCAAATTAAGAGTAGGAATAAGAAAAACAGATCCACCTGATTTCAGTTAAAAAATGACATGAGATAATTCCGCTGCAGTATAATCATCACCCCGGTACTAAATCCATGCCAAAATGATTTGACATGATTCGGCAAAATGCACCGCAGGATTATCTACATAATCTGCATAACAGCTCCTCCTCAGAGGGAGGGTGGGCTGGAGAGACAGCTGCTCAGTGAGAGGAGGACTTGGCAAATCCACTGTTTCTGCACCATGTAACTCCTCTCTTTCTATCGGTCTGTCTCGTTTGAGTTCATAGAGAGGACACCTGAATACATTTGGAAGGAAAACAAGATACACACACACACTAAAACAAATGCTACACATACCCAGGGAGCCTTTAGGACAGGGCCGCTCAACTGTCTCTCCCTTTAGGGTTGGGGGCCACTGAACTCCTCGTGCCACCCGGCCCTCGCATCCTCCCACCTGACCAGGCCCACCTGGGGCCAAGGGAACCCGCAGAGGAGGGCGTGGGGTCAGCGGAACCATGGCTGTGATCGGCCCCCTGTTGATGACGCCGATGGGGTGTGAGGCTGATGGCCGCACTGGGGTCAACGCCACCGTAGCTGTGTAGGACCGCACCGTGGTCATCAAAGAAGATAGGGGACCTATATGGGAAAAAGGAAGTTTGAATGAAGCACTGTCCTCCTACAGAATCTGATCTAAAGATTTATTATTGCTTGGACTTTTTCACATTTATACACACATAAAAATCCATAAACTTCTATGTAGCTTGTTGGGAGTCCTTTTTTTGCACTCATGAAAAACAAAGAACTAACTTAAAAACTGTGACATCACTTTTTTTTTCAACACAATGTTTTTAGCACTGCTGCTCACCTTTATCAAGGCTGAACTTTAAAAAATGAAATAGTCTAGAGAGCTGTATTTAACGAAACGTCTTTTGGTTTACACTTGTGTGTACAAAAAGACAAAATAAAATCTGTCTAAGTCTAATATAGAAGGATCACAGTGATGATAAAAGAAAAACAACAGAAAAAGCCCGACCTGCATTTTTATTTAGCTCCCCAGAGCTACAAGAAATGTTTGCTAACCTACGAGGAAATTCTTTCTCAGTCTGCATTTGAAAAATCATCAGTAGACTATGTTTTTACCCATTTTTCTTCCTTAGATTTGAAAAGAAACATCTGTGGATAGGAGTTTACAGGTCTTGCCACAGATTCTCGGTTGGATTTAGACTGGGCCATTCTAACATGTACATGATGATTTGATTTTAGCTCTGGCTGCATGTTTGAGCCCACTGTCTCCAGTTTCCCATCAACTATGACCTGCTTCCCTGCCACACTCAAAAATGTATGATTCCCACAGCATAATACTGCCACCACCAGAGGTTTAGAATATCTTCTATGAGAACTGAAGAAAACTGTAGTTGAATAAGTAAAAGGTGATGATGTGACAAAGAAGATGCCTGGCACACTTTTCAGGAAAATAGCCAAATGTAGCATATTTCTACATATGACACAACAGATATGTTGGTGTCCACACCTTTAGTTGGTGGCGGTGGTGTGAAGCTCAGAGGGTATCTCAGCATGTAGTAGTTATTCCACACATATAGCTGGTTGTCTCTGGGGTTGTAATCGATGGAGGAGATGTACTGGTAAGGGTTGGGGAATGGTATCTGAACAGGCAGCTCCTGTCCCCGGCTGGTGTCATAGGCATACACCACCATGTTGCTGCTGGCTCGGCTGTCCGCTTGGCCCTCGTCGTCCTGAAAGACGGAGCGCACGGCGTAGAGCACGCCACAGGCCATGAAGGCGTTACTCGCTCCACGCTTGTCAAAGCCTGTGGCCCAGGTGCCCTCAAAGCGCAGGGTGTATGGGTTCACCTGTTTGGGTAGAACAAGTAGAATTCAACCCCTCCTCCTTACTGCTCTCCTCCTCCTCACTCTCGGTATTGATCTACGTTTGATCCTCTTACCTGGCTGACCACGATGCGTCCATTATTGGCTTCGGTAGAGTAGATTACCCAAAGCCCGTTCTCGTCCACTGCCAGATCAATGTCCGACTTCCCTCCCCAGCGGTAAGGAGAGGTGTCATGGTAATTGGCGTTGACCACCACTGCCTCGCCGCTCTTGATGCGAGTGCGTAGGTCATATTTGACAAGGTTGCGCGTTCGCTCTTTGTTGTAAAACACAGCTCCGTCATACACCACGAAACCTGTACCGTCCACACGACTCGGCAACCTAAGACAGAGAAACACTCATTAAAGAGCTCATGTCATAATTGTTTAAGAATAAAAAACACAACATAAAAAAAAATCCTGTTGTAAATTAGGGAAAATTGGCTTGAGGAGCAGACTTATGACAATTACCAGGACAAAGAAAACACATCTATGTGATTACATTTCTGATAGGTCTATTTTTCTTCCTGCAGTGGTTGTCTGACAAACACTCTTTGTATGCCATTTTCCCACAAACTATTGTTTTATTTCATTCTATTTTGTTATTTGATTGTCACAAAATTTTTCTCTAAAAGTTTTGCAACTGATCAAGATGTTATTTCTTTTTTATTTTTCTGTAGTTGTATCATAAACTATCTTTGTGGGCCAAACACACCTAGGTGGGATAACCACAAATCCTTGTTTTTACCATTTATGGAAAAAAACTCTGACGCATGTCAGTTCCTTTGATTTTTATTTGTTTTTTTTTTCTTTTAGATCCTGGCATGATTTATTAATTTTTTTATATATATTGCTCAAGTTCTATATACAGTAATAGCCATTCAAAATGTCCCCACTTTCCTTGATGGGCCCTTGTCTGGTCCCCTACAATTCCTTTTTAAATCAATCTTTGTACTGAAATATTCTTTCTGTCACGTTTTTGTCGACATTAAGATCTAAAGAGAAGCGCCATCTCCGTGTAATTCAGTGAAAGGGTAAGTCAGTAAAAAATATGCACGCCCAGGAGAAGGAGGGGGTCACTGGCTGGAAGTTGGAAGGGATTCTGCTTGGAGTCGCATGGAAGTGGGCTGCCATTCGGCTGGTGTTTGATTGGGAAGAGCCATTTTGAATGGCTGCTACTGTAAGTGCAGTCCTCATGCTTCAGGTCTAACAGCAAACAGAGCTTGGAGCGGGGAAAAAAATGAGCCAAACAATATGATTTATCACAGATAATTGATTTCTATATGATATTCTTTTTTGTTTTAATTGTGTTCCCCCTTTTTTTTTCTAATATCGCAGCATTTCTGAGAAAAAAACAAAAGCAAAATCACAATCTGGAAGGGTTTTTAACAATCCTACTCAGGAAAGTTTATACAGTGTAAAAAAACTCACTTGTAGGTAGTTGTAACTCTGTTCTGACGGAGGTCATCCCACGAGGCGTACTCATACAGGACCTCTGTTCTGTAAGGCGTCCATGGCATGACGTAGAGCCTGTCGCCTGCTTGTAGGGGATCTTTACACCAGGCCCCGGACTGATGCTCTGCCTCCAGGAGAGAGGAGTCCGGCTGGATGCTGAGCAGCGAGCCCGGGCACACGAAAACTGAGAGGTTGGTGTTAGGAAAGTGGGTCAAAAGCAAGATGGGAGAAATAAGAAACAGAAGTAGGGAACATAAGAGGAAGAAGGGAAGTGAGAAAGAAAGTGGAGGCCGATGTAAGATCGAAGAAAAATTAATGAAAGCGTGAAAAANAATGAAGCACTGTCCTCCTACAGAATCTGATCTAAAGATTTATTATTGCTTGGACTTTTTCACATTTATACACACATAAAAATCCATAAACTTCTATGTAGCTTGTTGGGAGTCCTTTTTTTTGCACTAATGAAAAACAAAGAACTAACTTAAAAACTGTGACATCACTTTTTTTTTCAACACAATGTTTTTAGCACTGCTGCTCACCTTTATCAAGGCTGAACTTTAAAAAATGAAATAGTCTAGAGAGCTGTATTTAACGAAACGTCTTTTGGTTTACACTTGTGTGTACAAAAAGACAAAATAAAATCTGTCTAAGTCTAATATAGAAGGATCACAGTGATGATAAAAGAAAAACAACAGAAAAAGCCCGACCTGCATTTTTATTTAGCTCCCCAGAGCTACAAGAAATGTTTGCTAACCTACGAGGAAATTCTTTCTCAGTCTGCATTTGAAAAATCATCAGTAGACTATGTTTTTACCCATTTTTCTTCCTTAGATTTGAAAAGAAACATCTGTGGATAGGAGTTTACAGGTCTTGCCACAGATTCTCGGTTGGATTTAGACTGGGCCATTCTAACATGTACATGATGATTTGATTTTAGCTCTGGCTGCATGTTTGAGCCCACTGTCTCCAGTTTCCCATCAACTATGACCTGCTTCCCTGCCACACTCAAAAATGTATGATTCCCACAGCATAATACTGCCACCACCAGAGGTTTAGAATATCTTCTATGAGAACTGAAGAAAACTGTAGTTGAATAAGTAAAAGGTGATGATGTGACAAAGAAGATGCCTGGCACACTTTTCAGGAAAATAGCCAAATGTAGCATATTTCTACATATGACACAACAGATATGTTGGTGTCCACACCTTTAGTTGGTGGCGGTGGTGTGAAGCTCAGAGGGTATCTCAGCATGTAGTAGTTATTCCACACATATAGCTGGTTGTCTCTGGGGTTGTAATCGATGGAGGAGATGTACTGGTAAGGGTTGGGGAATGGTATCTGAACAGGCAGCTCCTGTCCCCGGCTGGTGTCATAGGCATACACCACCATGTTGCTGCTGGCTCGGCTGTCCGCTTGGCCCTCGTCGTCCTGAAAGACGGAGCGCACGGCGTAGAGCACGCCACAGGCCATGAAGGCGTTACTCGCTCCACGCTTGTCAAAGCCTGTGGCCCAGGTGCCCTCAAAGCGCAGGGTGTATGGGTTCACCTGTTTGGGTAGAACAAGTAGAATTCAACCCCTCCTCCTTACTGCTCTCCTCCTCCTCACTCTCAGTATTGATCTACGTTTGATCCTCTTACCTGGCTGACCACGATGCGTCCATTATTGGCTTCGGTAGAGTAGATTACCCAAAGCCCGTTCTCGTCCACTGCCAGATCAATGTCCGACTTCCCTCCCCAGCGGTAAGGAGAGGTGTCATGGTAATTGGCGTTGACCACCACTGCCTCGCCGCTCTTGATGCGAGTGCGTAGGTCATATTTGACAAGGTTGCGCGTTCGCTCTTTGTTGTAAAACACAGCTCCGTCATACACCACAAAACCTGTACCGTCCACACGACTCGGCAACCTAAGACAGAGAAACACTCATTAAAGAGCTCATGTCATAATTGTTTAAGAATAAAAAACACAATATAAAAAAAAATCCTGTTGTAAATTAGGGAAAATTGGCTTGAGGAGCAGACTTATGACAATTACCAGGACAAAGAAAACACATCTATGTGATTACATTTCTGATAGGTCTATTTTTCTTCCTGCAGTGGTTGTCTGACAAACACTCTTTGTATGCCATTTTCCCACAAACTATTGTTTTATTTCATTCTATTTTGTTATTTGATTGTCACAAAATTTTTCTCTAAAAGTTTTGCAACTGATCAAGATGTTATTTCTTTTTTATTTTTCTGTAGTTGTATCATAAACTATCTTTGTGGGCCAAACACACCTAGGTGGGATAACCACAAATCCTTGTTTTTACCATTTATGGAAAAAAACTCTGACGCATGTCAGTTCCTTTGATTTTTATTTGTTTTTTTTTTCTTTTAGATCCTGGCATGATTTATTAATTTTTTTATATATATTGCTCAAGTTCTATATACAGTAATAGCCATTCAAAATGTCCCCACTTTCCTTGATGGGCGCTTGTCTGGACCTTGGCTGGTCCCCTACAATTCCTTTTTAAATCAATCTTTGTACTGAAATATTCTTTCTGTCACGTTTTTGTCGACATTAAGATCTAAAGAGAAGCGCCATCTCCGTGTAATTCAGTGAAAGGGTAAGTCAGTAAAAAATATGCACGCCCAGGAGAAGGAGGGGGTCACTGGCTGGAAGTTGGAAGGGATTCTGCTTGGAGTCGCATGGAAGTGGGCTGCCATTCGGCTGGTGTTTGATTGGGAAGAGCCATTTTGAATGGCTGCTACTGTAAGTGCAGTCCTCATGCTTCAGGTCTAACAGCAAACAGAGCTTGGAGCGGGGAAAAAAATGAGCCAAACAATATGATTTATCACAGATAATTGATTTCTATATGATATTCTTTTTTGTTTTAATTGTGTTCCCCCTTTTTTTTTCTAATATCGCAGCATTTCTGAGAAAAAAACAAAAGCAAAATCACAATCTGGAAGGGTTTTTAACAATCCTTCTCAGGAAAGTTTATACAGTGTAAAAAAACTCACTTGTAGGTAGTTGTAACTCTGTTCTGACGGAGGTCATCCCACGAGGCGTACTCATACAGGACCTCTGTTCTGTAAGGCGTCCATGGCATGACGTAGAGCCTGTCGCCTGCTTGTAGGGGATCTTTACACCAGGCCCCGGACTGATGCTCTGCCTCCAGGAGAGAGGAGTCCGGCTGGATGCTGAGCAGCGAGCCCGGGCACACGAAAACTGAGAGGTTGGTGTTAGGAAAGTGGGTCAAAAGCAAGATGGGAGAAATAAGAAACAGAAGTAGGGAACATAAGAGGAAGAAGGGAAGTGAGAAAGAAAGTGGAGGCCGATGTAAGATCGAAGAAAAATTAATGAAAGCGTGAAAAAAATATATCGAATTAAATGATGATGCAGAAAGATTGCGTGAAAAAGAACGGAGAGAAAAAAGGAAAGAGATTTAAAACACCTGCTCTGATTTCAGGAGACAAGCTATAGAAGAGACGAGTAAATGTTTCAAATCACACACTGTGTGACCATGTGTGTGTGCTGATTAATACAATAAGGACTCTGCAATGAAAGTTGTATGAGTGCATTTAAGTGTTTTGTGCATCTGAGTATTTCTTTCGGTATGTGTGTGTGTATGTGTGTAGGGGGTTGGGGGGTTAGTGCAAAAGTGAACAAGAGTGTGAGGTAGAGTCTGGGGCGTAGAAGGCGGGGCTAAATTTTGCCTTGAAGTGAATGAGAGGGCAGGTTAGTTTACGCCGAGCACAACGATTGGTCCACCCACATGTCAATAACTGCATGGACACATATGTATACTGCACAGTCCCACACTGGCATGCAAAGAGGCATGCACACGCACACACATACATACACACACACCCGCGCATGTAAGCGGTGCTTGGTAAGCACACACATCCAGACGGATACACAACCACACACACGTTTCGTCTTATTTTTCCTATGAAGATAAATAAGGGGCTCTTCCTATAAGGGAAGAAAAGGGAAAATAAGCATGAAGAGGATGACTGGAAAAGAAGAGAGGAAGAAAGGTAGGAAGAAAGAGTTAAGAGGGAGTAAAAGAGAGAAAGTGTTCATGTTTGTGCAACTAGTTGTGTTTTAATGTGTGCACAGAAAGAGAGGCAGGGAGAAAGAGAGGAAGAAAGAAAGAAGGAGAGGTGCAGAACCTGGATAAAATTGGATCAAATAGACAGATCTGAATACAAGAAGAGATGGAGAAAATGTGAAAAAACAAATAACTGTGTGGAGAATGTAAAAAAAAGAGGGAGGAAAGGAAGGGGGCAACATCCAGCATGATTACGAAACAACGTCCTAGGGTTGGAGGAGGAGAGAAATGATAGGATAGACGAAGAGGAGAGGAGAAGTAGAGGAAGAAGAGAAAGAAGAGGGATTGGGGGTAAGGAGAGTTCAAGATGCTACAGTGTTTGTCTTTACCTTTTTGGTCCACTTCTACTCAAGCATAGGAAAAAAAAGAGGGAGAGAAAGAAAGAAAAGTCAGAGGGGGAAAGAAGGGGAAGTCAGAAAGAGAGTAAGAACGATAGAAAAAAGAGAGGAAGAACGAAAGAAGTGAAAGAAAGAAAGATAAAAACAAACCAAAGAAAGAAAGAAAGAAAGAAAGAAAGAAAGAAAGAAAGAAAGAAAGAAAGAAAGAAAGAAAGAAAGAAAGAAAGAAAGAAAGTTGCACAGATAAAGATTTTTTTGGAACTCAATCTCACGTAAAACATTATTGTTTATATAAAAAAAAGAGATAAACCATAAAAGAACCCCAACATATTCCCTTCCTCTTTTCACCCCCCCACAACCTCCCTCCATCCCTCTCCATATTTTTCTTCCACCTCCCCACTCCCCCCCGATCTCTCCTTCCCTCAATCAGGCTCCTGTGGAGAAAAGAGAGCAACTCCTGTGGCGTGAATCTGCAAAAGAGAAGCACAAGCGCGCGTGCACGCTACAGCTCACCCACACAAACACGCTCGCACACACACGTGACATTTTGTGACAATTTGCAAATGCCCCACAGTTTGTTTTCTTCCTTTTTTTTTCTCAGCTCTCTCTCTCTCTACCTCTCTCTCAGCTTTCGGTTTGTGATTGAAACAAACCAACACGCACACACACCTTTCCTGAGAAAAAAAAATTATAAAACATCTCACATGTTTTTTAATTCCATCAATCTCTAAGCGAAATAGTTGACATCAGAGGGTTGAGGATCAAAAATCCAACCTGCATCATGACTCTAGGTTAAATCTGTGTTCAGTGTGTGTGTCGTTGTGTCTTTGTGTATTAATTGCATATTAATGTGTACTTACTATAAGGAACACACTCGTACTGGATCTCCAGGTACTTGTACGTTCCGGGGCAGGGGTCCGGGAAGACATCAACCCCCGCGACCACCACACACTGAGTTCGGTTGTTACATCTGAGGAACAGAATGGATGAATTGATTAATCGGTCAATGAAATGGAAAGAGTAAGAGGGGGAAAAGGAAGTCTAGGGATTAACAGACAGGAAAAGAGGAGGCAAAGGATCCTCCATTTGTCTACTCTCTTTGGCCGAATATTGATCAATTCTTCTAGGAAAACACAGCTGAGTACACAACCCGTACGCGGCTAAAGATTCTGCAGTACTTGCAAACACACGACACACAAAGGGAGCATTGTTCGGTGTAATGTTTGCACCTAATCCACATTTATTTTTTAACGGGAACACACCTACACCAGGCGTACAAGCCAGAAACTGTATTGATTAGTTTACCTTCTTCAGGAATGCTTTTACATATTTGAATAAGGTCATGATTTGCATAATTTTTTTGCATTGTTTGAGTTCCTTGGAAAACAATTTATACATCTGGAACTTTTCCAAAGTTCATCGTGTTAAACAAACAAACTCAAGTGACTTTGTAAAAACTGTTTAATGGCTTTCAAATAAAAAATCTAAAAAGTGTGGCATATTGTACATGCATATGTATTCAGTATTCAACTTTTAATATACCTCACATCATGGCAGCAGTTTAAAGATTTCTCTTTCCTCCTGAAATATGACCAAGATCCAGAGAGGATGAACAGGTTTGTCCTGAAGAGACTGGAGCTCAACCCAACACTTTTGGGATGAATTAAATCAGATATTTAGAGCCAAACCTCCTCATCCAACATTAGTGTTCAACCATACAAATGCAATACAAATTCTCAAAGATATGATTAAAAACTCCCCTACGCCTTCGCAGAAAAAATAAAATCATATACGTTGCAAAGTGTCAACAAAACATATCATTAACCCCAATGATTAAAGAAAAGGACTTCAGTTTCTTATACATGTGACAGAAGAGGAGCAAATACTTTTGACAATAGTTCCAGCTTGGTCTATTACATAGAGAGGATATTAAATAAGTAAGTCTTCTTACAAATTCTCAAGTTAAAACATGGGGAAATGCTCTTTTTAACTATGTCATTGTGGTTCAGGATGTTTGCTCAGGTCACTTATTATGATGCAGCTACTGCTATGTTGTAAAGGGAGTTTTTATGGCTTTCTCCCAAAGCAGCTTTCCTCTTTCCATTCTTATTAACATAAAGATGTGGAGAGCATAATGAATGGTTCTGCTGTGGAGGTATTCTCCTAGCTGAGCTGTGATTCTCTTCAACTTCTCCAGAGTTATATTGGGCCTTTTGGCTGCTTTTCTAACCAAAACTAATCTTCCCCAGCCTATTAGTTTATGTTGATGGTCATGTCTCTGTTGTTCACCAGAACAGCTAGATTTATCTATAGTAAGACTAAATTAGACAAATCAAATTTTTTATACTACTTAATATGTTCTGAATAAGCCAAATTAAGGAGAATTTCTTTTAAACAATTACTTGATGGTTTCTATTTTACTTCACACTTGTGGGCTTCTTTGCTTTGGCCTTTCAAATGAGATCCTAAGAAAATAAAATGAAGCTCATTGCATTGTGACAATGCGTGAGAAATGCACTGCACATGTTTTCCTCACCAATGTACAAATTATGCAGTTCAATGGATACAAACCTCTGGGACATAATCTTTAGTGCATCAGGAAGGTAACACTGCGTGTTCTCCATCTGGAAGGGGTCTGCGTCACAGATCTTGTCATCAGTGCGTCCATAATTGGCTGTCTCCACCATCACCACATCACTTCCTGGGCAGCGTAGCTCTATGGGATAACCCTCGCATGCCAGCTCCCTGCGCAGCAGCCCAAACGGCATGGCGGCTCGAGACATGGCTGCAAGTGAGAGGTGGTGGAGCATGTGGGGAATGCAGAGAGAAAGGAAGATAAGGAAAATTCATAATAAGTTCATAATTACTTGGTGATTTTCAGGGTAAGGCTTTCACTGTTGCTGATAATTCTTTACACAAACTATTAATGGATAAAATGCAGATACAGCGGAAGAAGATGGCAAAAGATGAACCTAAATGGCATCTAGATTTAAAGTAAAAACATGTGAAAAAGGACTAAATAGGGTGATTAATCTCTTAAATTTATTTTTTGACAGGTTACAATTCTTCCCAACATGTTTTTACATGTGAACAGTACAGAAATTTAAAACTTAAACATAAAAAAAACTGACAGGTATTTTGCACTTTTTAAGTGCAATAAAATTTTATACAAAATTTGTTTGTGATGTTGGTTTGACAAGATCCTAGATGCCAAATTGTCAGTTTTGTTTTATATATATATATAGAGCATAACCTGCAAAGAAAAGTGCATCTGATTGATGATATTTGCCACATGGATATTATGATTTTGGTGAAATCAAGGCTAAGGCATTTAAAATACCAAATATATTTTGGCATCCAATAGTCTTTGAAGCCTCCTACTTACCTCATGCATTAATCCTCTACTGTATGTATTTCCAAAATATTTATCTAAATATTTTTAAGGAAAAACTTGTGATAAACTATGTTATTGGCATTTTACATAACATATCAGGCGGCTATAACCTGTAGCTTCTGAGCCAAAAGAAGCTCCTTGGAGCCTCCGCGGTGGCTCCGAGCAATGTTTTTAAAAGTAATGGGTTAAAGTAAATGTGAGTTTTAACAGTTTTTAACATGTTCTTGTGAAATACTTACATAGCCTTTCCAATTATAGATATTTCTGAGAAATTCAGGAAATCTTTTAAAGCGTTTTTAATTCTAAACAAACTGCATTTAGCTGGACTAAAGGCAAAAATACTATAAATTGTAAAGGTTGCTGACCAGTGTAAGAGATGCACAAAACCAACTGTTACGTCAAATATGGAAGGTGTGTTTTACATTTTGTGAAACTATTTTTTTTTACAAAAGAAACTGAGGATGAAACACCTTGGTGCTACAACAGCTTGGAATTTTTCTCATCAGGACGAACAGAGAAACTAGTCAGTGTTAATGTTAAACAAAGGTAAATCTATATTTAAGCACTACTTTATGTTGGTCTGTTACATAAAATCCCAGTGAAATATATTGAATCTGTGGTTTTAGTACCATGGAAAAATATGAAAAAGTTCAAGGGTGATAGATTCCTTTCCAAGGCAATTTATGTGACTGTTGCTGACATGTTCTTACATAAAACCGATGGAGGAAGAGCTGGAACACCCTGAGACTGCTTATCAAGCTTTTAAGATGAAATCCACATTGAAATTCCAGCTCGGTTCTTGCTGGATGAGCTGCCACTTGCCTTCCAAGACTGATAAAATGCATCCGTCACACCCCTTTTTATCCACACTTCAGTGCTGCTGTCAGTTTCAGAGCCTTTAGTGCACGATTCTCTAATAGGTATACATATACACATATATATATATGTGCAGCTGGTATCATTTTAGGCTGTGATAAATGTTCCTTTTCATCTGAGGATACAACATGTTTAAATCAGGGCCAATCTAAGCTTTGAGGTAATTAATAACTGCAGTTTGCACAGAGTGAGTCACTCTATGCTGATTGTACCTTTTCAAACAGAGGACACCTTCAGTGTGTGTGTACAGTATTTCAGTGGAAATTGTGGAAAGCGAGGGTTACCGAAAACTAAAAAGGAAATTTTCCTTTTCGCAGAAAAAGACGTATTTTTCCAATTAGTGTTCTGACTATTTATTTCAGTTTACTGCATTTTTTTTGCTCCATCTGTTCAGCTTTATTTTTTCAGACTGAATTTTTGTGGCGCATGCTTTAAAAAAGATCTACTCAGATTGACAAAAATATCTCTGCTAAAGAGAGATTTTCATGTGAAATTAAGCGTGTTCCCTTTAATTATCTGTTGTGATTTTATCAGTAATAATTATCATACCTGTGAACATTGATACACTCTAATGATTCTCCTGCGGATGCTAAGATCATTTACTCAGAATGACAAATTAAACACTGTGAAGATCTATGTTTGCTTCAGAAATTAGGCCCTTGATGAATATAAAAACATTATCTGGACTGTACTTGCACCTTATACCTCTACCTTCCATGAGATTTGGTTGGCTCTTTAGGCTTCCTGACATTATTAGGTACTACCCTGTTGTGAAAACAGCTCGGCAAGTGTCAGTTTCTTGCCTTTGAGGACCATATTTTAACATGTTGCTCTGTGTAAAGAGAATCTTAACATGCTGGGAGAAAATCCCATTACTGCTACCTTAATTCAGTTTTCCACATCAGCTCAAGTATCGTGCACACGTGGCAGGGAGAGTGCCTCTAGAGATTAAATCTAAAATGGCTTGTGTGTTCGCTTTCTGCTGGTGGGGTGGAGCTGTCCATGGTGCTGAATTACTGACCATTTTATGCATTGAACATTTTATACATTGAACTGAATCACCTTTATGAATTTCATCCATTTCCAATTAAATAATCTAGCATATTTGATGGTATGGAAGGTCTCTGTCATGAAAATTATACAGCTTAATTAAAAAGTAGGAAGACACAAATTACTTATTTTGAATTTGACAGGCTAAGGTAAATATGTATTTTAAAGACAACAAATATTTACACTTGTTATAGCATTTGGATAGTATGTCCATTAACCCTTTATAG